TATTGACGGGGATGGCACAATGCAGTCACACAGCCCCCCTGTCCCCTCCCCTCCCACTCCTTCCTTCCTTCCCTCTCTCCCCCTCTACTGTTGTGACATGCCCCAGCCGCATTCCAGCCGCAAGCACTGGCAGTGTAACTTGAAAGTTTGGAATTTCTTTAAAAATAAAAAATTGCACTAGGCTGCATTATGAGCCAACCTGGGCCGCATGCGGCCCTCGGGCCGCAGGTTGGACAAGCCTGGTTTACACAAAGAAGCAGATCCCAAGATATGCTGAGAGAAAGGGGAAACCTTCCAGTCCCCGCCTCCCTGTTGGCACCTTCCAAAATCAGGGTGGGCAAAGCGTGGCCTTGCAAGATGATGGTGGGCTGCAATTCTCATCAGCACTGGCCAACACAGCTCAGCATGAGGAATGCTGGGAGCTGTAGTCCAACAACATCTGGAGGGCTAAGCCTCGCCCACCCCACGCCACCCCACGGCCTCTCCTGAAAATGGTATAGGCTATGATATAGGGATCTAAAGGGGGAAAGGAGCCCTTTCCTTGCTTGGGAGCTCTTCTCACTAGATGCCTCCATCTGACTGTCGGCGATTCCTCCCCTCCTCCTGAAGTAAATGCCCTTGACTTCAACAGGATTTACTTCTATGCAAATAGGTACAGCACTGCAGCCCCACAGTATGCAAATGTACACATGCACATGTGAATGTGTGTTCATGTATAGACAAACAGGTTGCATGTCTATGAGAGAGAAGCCAGGAGAATTCATAGATTTCAGGACTAATGGCTATGGCTTATTCTCTCCAGTGACCGACACAGCAATGAAAACAGGACCTTCACAGCAATGAAAATATTATCTGGGAGAACAGCTTTTCCCCAGTCAAAACATTGTGCTTTGAATTCTTGGGAAATGTGGTGTTATTCACAAGATAAACGCAACCTGGTACATCTGCTGTGTGCTGCAAAAATGAGGAACGAATTTGCCTTTATTGCACCAGAAAATATCACAGGATCTAAATGACAGAATAATGCATGAGCTGATACCATATTCACAATTATCTTATTTCTATTTTTAACAAGAAGCACATTGTCAGAAAGTGTAAAGAATCATTTTTAATTAAATGCAGAAAACAGTCTGAATGCCATACCTGACAAAGCACCCTCATACTTCTAGTAGGCTTTGAAATGAGAAAGCAAAGAATTTGAAGACAAAAGACAGATAACAAGGAACAAAGCAATTCTAAGAGCCTTAATTAAGTCTTACAATGTTTATAAAATATACCATTTTTTTACATGCAGAAAGAACTACTGTTAAATAAAAAGCTTAACAAAATTACCCTCACCTTCTTTTATTGTCAACCAGCATAATAAGAAGAAATGGAGGGTTATGACAAATTTCAGTGCAGAAAAAAACCGAGACAGATCCAAAATCAACTTTTTTTAAAAAAAGAGAGAGAGATACTGATCTCTGAGCAACAAAGTCTGGTTCTATAAACTGAGATCCTGTTTTATTTCTTTTTGAAGCAATTCCTATCCAGTTAAAATACAAAAAGGAAATCTTACCACCTCACTTAGCAGGGCATCTGTTTTAGAAAAGGACAGAGGAAGAGAGAAAGCTTTGCATTCAAGTAAAACCGTGAGCAAAAAACATCTTACCAAAGACACAATATCCAATAAGAAGTCAACAAGGAGGCAGAAATTGGTCAGGGGGAGCTCGGAGGGCTCACTCCCACCTCCGGGCCCAGGCTGCAGTCGGGCATGCAATGTCCTCCTACAAATTCAAAGCACCATTTATTTATACAGTGGGGTCTTGACTTACGAACGGCTCGACATACGAACATTTCGACTTACGAACCGCCCTCATAGGAATATATGGACTCGACTTACGAACTCAGATTCGAGTTACGAACTCTTTTTTCCCTTTTTTTAAAGCTAAGTCATCTTAGGTTAAAAGGAAAAAAGAAAAAATATCCCCCTCTAGTGGCAGAAGGCGGAATAGCAGCTTCCCATTAGTTTCTATGGACAAAAAGAGCAGATACCAATTAAATGGTTTTCAATGCATTCCTATGGGAAATGCAGATTCGACTTAAGAACTTTTCGACCTGAGAACTGCCTTCCAATACGGAGTAAGTTCGTAAGTCGAGACCCCACTGTAGTAGCCTAGCTCTATTTATTTATTTATTTAACTTATATGCCGCCCACACTACCCAAAGGTCTGTATCTAGCTTATGCAAACATGTTGTGTAGAGAGATACATCATGCAACAACATTCCCTAACAGTAAACAGGCAGAAGTAACACAACGGCATTTGAGCTCAGCTGAACGCTCTAGAGATGCTGCTTTAAACTCCTGAAATTCAGACCACAACAGATCGAGAAAATTAAAGACTCAAATTTCTTTTCAACTGTTAATGAAGATGCCGGCGACAGAGACTGGCAAAATGTCAGGAAGAACAGCCTTCAGAACATGGCCAAAGAGCCCGAAAAAAAACACAACAACCAGAAGGGGAAGATTCTCGATCCACTATGGGTTGGATCGAGACTCTTTTCCTTTTCGGGCTGTTTCCCTTAATTAAAGAGATCCATATCCAGCAGAGCTTACAATGGAGACAGAATAATTTTTACTGAATCCATCACCTCAGTGATTTGCAAATGAAAGTAGTGTGAGAAGGCAAGTTTCATTATCTTTCTCCCTGCAGGAGCTGGTTGGATAGATCATTAGTTTAGGTATCTAGCTGCAGAGGCTGGGAGTTCGATTCCCCACTGGGCCACGTGGGAGTAGACAGGCAGCCTGTGTGGCCTTGGGCAAGCAGCACAGTCCCAGGGCGCCCCAAGGAAAAGGGAAGGCTAAACCACTTCTGAGTATTCTCTACCTGGAAGACCCTGAAAAGGGTCTCCATCACTCAGAAGTGACTTGATGGGACATGATTATTATTTCCCCCCACAGATAGCTCTTCGTTCACACACAGTTCCAAGGGCTTTCCGATACTCTAGAAGAGCTTTCCATGGGACATGGGAAGACTGCAGGAAAATTAGCAAAACTTTTCTTCCCAACTCTGCCACAAAAACATCCTGGATCCAACTTCAGTCTCAATTATTGATTCACTTATCTGAAGGAACCATTACGGATTAACATAGGAGGCAGATATTTTGTGTTATCTCTTGTGTTCTCAAACCAATACTTTTCACTGGAGTCAGACAGACTCAGTTGAAGTCATCTAGCACCGAGTAACCATGTGGCACAAATCCGTGAGTTTGCTCTAAAACTAAAATCACTGTTTCTTCTACAGCAGTTGTTTTCAACCTTTGGTCCCCAGATGTTCTTGGACTAAAACTCCCAGAAACCTTGATCATTAGCTGTCCCGGCCAGGGTTTCTAGCAGTGGTAGACCAAGAAAATCTGGGGACCCAAAATTGGGAACCACCATTCTACCGGATAGACTGCTACTTACTGGCAACAAAAATACAACAAACTGAACTTTTATGTTCCCTTCAAGGGAAAAAAGCAGTACATGGAACACATTTAATAGAATATAACTTACCTGCAACATTCTTCAAACCAACGGGCAATGTAATCCCACATATAGTAAGGCTCAAAGGAATTAAACAGAAGATTGGCAGTCTTAATCAACTCTGCTGTTTTCTTATTCTCCCTCAATTTGCTGAAAGAAAAAAAATGCAGCCACATTTAATATAAAAATATCCATCTATTTGCGATCTCACATCAAGCCATATTCTTGATTTTCTTCTTCCATCCTCTCTTCCTCCCTAATCCAACTGCCTCTTTTTTTTGTCATCCATCATTTCCACTGAGAAAACTGCTTTCCCTCTAAATCAAGAAGTGTTCGAGCAAAATAAAAGCTGTGCTGCTCACCTAAAGCTTCTTTTGGTACATAAAGGTTGTTAAGCTGCTTTCTTATCGGTGTATCTCTCCCTGGAGTGCTTCTAGCATTTTATAAAAGCAGGAATGTGTGACTTTCAGCCCAATTTCACACAACAAACAAGGAAAAAGCTCATTGTCTCCTGTGTGAAGAAAGAAATTACTGCATGCATGTGGTTTCCTAACAGATTATTCATTCTTCCAAAGGCATGTCACACTCAACATAAAAAGGCTACAGAAAGGTTCTGTACAATATGGTGCCTACAATATAAAAGGGGACCCACCTTTGCTATGTAAACAAGAAGCCTTACTAGCAGGCATACGTAAGTTCCCTGGGGCTCTTAAGTGTAAAGTGTGTCTTTGAATGAAATTCTTCCCATGGCTAAAAGCAGGAAAGACTGAACAGTGATGATTTTGGCTGTTTCTGTTTTGATATTTATTGCTCTTTGTGGATTACTGGATGTCTGCCCAATGGAATGTATGGGTCGAGTGACAGGTGAGTGCTAAATAAGATCATTATGGCTGTTGAGAGAGGTGGAAAATGGCTCTCCATAATTTTATTCCCAGAGGGAGGGGGTAGAATATACACTGGATACAGATGAGATTAGAGATACAGATAAGTATTGAGACAGAGATAATACAGTGAGTAGGGAGGGAGGGAGAAAGGTAGATACTGCAAGAATTAGATGAATTTGCATACTGAATAAGCAGTTAGGATTAAGTTAAATAAAAGTCTGTTTCATTTGTCATTCTAAAACTTGCCATTTAATTTTTTACTTAAAAAACACTTTTGATGTATCAAACATGTTTTTCAACAGCAGTTATCATACAACCACTCATGTTGAAGAAACAAATACAGTGGTGCCTCGCTTAGTGATTGCCTCGTTTAACGATGTATTCACTTAGCAATGAGGTTTTAGGAGCAATCTTGCGCTCCGTTTAGCGATGTTTTCAATGGGGGAATTTCGCATAGCGATGTTTGGGACCTTGCTTCGCTTAGCAATGACAGTTTAGGTCCCCCTGTTTTGCTTAACGATGGTTTTGACAGCCCCGTGTTTGCTGTTTTTTAAGTTTTAAAATGTTTAAAAGGGTTTAGAGTGCTTGAAATTGTTAGTGCACTTAATAAACCCTTTGTTAAACTAATTTGGCTTCGTTCTGACTCTTTTTGAATTTTTTGTATTTTTTTTCCTCCATTGAAATGCATTGAATAGGTTTCAATGCATTTCAATGGGGGAACCTCATTTCGCTTAGCGATTTTTCCTATGGCGATTTTCACTTAAGGATGGCAATCTGTTCCCATTGGAATGGATTATCCGGTTTTCAATGCATCTCTATGGGAAAACGCGTTTTGCTTAGCGATGTTTTCCCATAGCGATTTTTTTTTGCACCAATTAAAATCGCTAAGCAAGGCACCACTGTATACTTTTAAAGGTTTCCAATTTAGGAACTGGTGGTAGTAGTATTACTAAAGGGTTTGAGTTCTATTAATAGGCTTAAAGAAAATTCATCCTCAAAAGGAGGTGGAAGTTGATGAAAGAGCCCAGGTATGTATTCCAAATGCATGGAGACAATATTGTGAAGGAACACACTGAGTATCTGACTGGATAGTAGCAGGGTCAGAGCAAAGGGCAGGAGTCCCTGTGTACAAGTGGAAAGGGACAATCCAGCCGAGGGAGGCTTGGGTAGTCCCAGAAAGGCACAATTTAGAAGACAAATGGTGGTCACTGTATCCTCAGCTTTGGAACTCATGTCTGTAACGAAAATAAAATAGAACAGGCTAATCTCACAACCAGTTCTTAGCAATAGTATTTAAAATCTGTTTTCACTGGCATTGCATGCATTCTGCGTTGTTGTAATATGAATTCTTATTTTGCCAACAGTTTCAAACACAAACATTTAGAGGATTTTCTTTCCCAAAATACTGGCTGGTACCAAACAGGTATTTTGGGATGGGTCACAAGTTGTATCTTCTCTTGTAGAATCATGGAATAATGGAGTTGGGACAGGCTTCTAAGGGGCTTCTAAGGCCACTGAATCCAACTCCTGTTCAACGCAGGAATCCAAGTTAACAGTATTTCTGACAAATGATAACTGTGTTATTTACCTGCTTAGCTGTGCATGGTCCTTGCTGAAGGAAGACTCCACCTGAAGATCCAACTCAGCTTTGCATTGTGTATATAATGTCCTAAACACTTCAATTAGAACATCCTCCAATATTACGGGTCCTAAAACAGAAGAACAGCAAGGGTTGCAATGTGGTCACTGTATCCTCAGCTTTAGAAGTCATGTCTGTAGTGAAAATAAAATAAAACAGGCTATCTAATAACCAGTTCTTATCAATAGTATTTAAAATCTGTTTTCACTGGCATTGCATACATTCAGCGTTGTTGTAATATGAATTCTTATTTTGCCAACAGTTTCAAACACAAACATTTAGAGGATTTTCTTTCCCAAAATACTGGCTGGTACCCAAACAGCTATTTTGGGATGGGTCACAAGTTGTATCTTCTCTTGTAGAATCATGGAATAATGGAGTTGGGACAGGCTTCTAAGGGGCTTCTAAGGCCACTGAATCCAACTCCTGTTCAACGCAGGAATCCAAGTTAACAGTATTTCTGACAAATGATAACTGTGTTATTTACCTGCTTAGCTGTGCATGGTCCTTGCTGAAGGAAGACTCCACCTGAAGATCCAACTCAGCTTTGCATTGTGTATATAATGTCCTAAACACTTCAATTAGAACATCCTCCAATATTACGGGTCCTAAAACAGAAGAACAGCAAGGTTTGCAATCAAAAACGTTCTGTGGCTAGTATTTGAATTTAACTCAGTCCAGTTTAGTCTACAGTTTAATAATATTTTATGGCTAACAAGGGCTGACATTTTTTCTTCTACTCGGCATTTGCTGTGTAAAACATACAGATGCCAGAAATTTTCCAGAGATCAGTACTTCCAAAGCTATATATACATTTCTATACAAATGCTTCCTGCCGAAGCACATTATGTAAAGGTAGTTATTTTGAGCCTCCTTCTTAAAGATATAGGGTGCTAACTAGTGCCAACAACATATCCAATCTCCAGGTAATCCCCAGAGACCTGTGATCAAGATTAGATCAGGGGTGGGTGGTGTTACATACAGCACTGATGTTACCTGTCTGTCATGGGTTTGGAGGGAAAGTTCCATCCTATGGGGAGTGGAAGGCGGGACATCAGGAGGAGGGGCTGTACTGTATATATATGTGATGCGTGTGTGGAGAAGTGAAGACGCGCTGGGATGTGAAGAAGCAGCAGCTGGGAAGAAGAAGCTGGTGTGGGAGTCTGTGTGTCAGACAGGGTACTACTGTGTGTCAGTCAGTACCAACCTGATAGGTTCAGGTGTCTGTTGGTTAGCCAGAACTGATAGGTTCAGGGTCTGTGCTTCAAGTTAAGGGTTCTGTGTGAACCAAACTGTGTGTATGTATGAGTGAAACTAAGCCACGTTACTATATCTTATTCACATAATCCTTTTATTTTCCCTGTGTGTTGTTTTAAATAAACCTTGTTCTTTTATTTGGTTAAAAATCCATCCCTGGTCTGTGTGACTTCTTATAGGGAATGGTTGGTGGCAGCTTAGTTAACGTGTGGCAGATCCCAGTAGGTCAAGATCAGGAGTGGGTGGATTCTGCCAAGTTGTCATGGCATCCACAAAGCAGAGGGAAACATGAGAACATCATCTGAAACATCCAGGATTGGACCAAGATTTGCTTCCTATAGATAAAAAGCTTCCCAGAAGGTCCTTCTGCTGGATTTTCAGGGATCCCTTTGCCCAAGAAATACTGCAGCTCACAAGAGTTGTCAGCTGTAGGGGCTCACCTGGCAGAAGATGATTAGGAAACATCACCTCTGCCAGCCCACTTGCATGTGTCTAAAATGTGGATCCAATCAAGTGTATCAAGGCAATGTCTAATTTCATATCCTAAAGTTACAACCCACTGCATATTAAACATATGTATAATTACCAACTATTTTTCCATGTGAAAAATTAATTGTTTGCATCCACGTGTAGTTACACTTACAGTAGACTTAGTGAAATCACTGAGCCATGAATCAGACACAACCCACTGACTTCAATGGGTCTACTCCAGACATGACCCAGTCTGGGTTGAACCCATTAAGGAAAGGTCTCTAAACACAGCTGCATCTATGCACCGAAGGAGTAAATGACTCTACATTTCAAATTGCCAGATAGGTATCTGGCTGCAGAGCTAGAGGTGGAGAGTTCAATTCCCCAGTGTGGGGAATAGATTCAATGATCCATAAGGTCCCTTCCTGCTCTGCAGTTCTAAAATAAGGATAATTGTTAAAATCATACAATTCATCAACTGAGTAAAACAACATTTACACCATTCCTATGCTGGCATTTGCCCACAACTTAATCACAACTCAACTGTGAAAAGAAGATGGGTATGCATACGAGGCATGTTTCCAAAGCATCGGATTACTTTAGAAAAAAATATGTGTATTTAGTGCAAAGATGTACAGGTTTACAGTCATGTTTGGTTGAACAATCTTCCAATCCTATATAAAAGGGGAAGCTCCGACATGATATAGATGGTACACTGGGCAAGCTGGATTTTCATGTCTGCTCATATCTCCTCCCTAGTTCAGCTGTGTTTGTGTTACACTCAAATGCCCACATAAGACAACTAATAGCTGCATAAGATATGGTTATCCTGAAATATGCAATGTGTTTTGAAAACTACTGGGAAGGATAATGTGGCTACCACTAACTTGATGAGAAACAAGATCTCTTAGCATGAGTGCAACATGCTACCCTGATTCCCAAGGCAGTGCTGGTTTTATTAAAACTTAATGGGGGCAATGGATCCCCTGGTCCATGGGGTCACGAAGAGTCGGACACGACTTAATGACTAAACAACAACAATGGGGGCTTCCTGCCATGAAAGATTTAGGCTGTGATTTTAATCTGACAGCACTGTCTCAAACTTATTTAAGATAACAACTTGACTTTCAACCATATTATTTATTTATTTTATTTTATTAGATTTATACCCCGCCCATCTAGACCAAAGGTGGTTCAAGCCTATTAAATATGGATCAAGCCATATGTGGTTCATTTCAAGCCTATTAAGAAATTCATAATACAGTATAAATGTTCTTTTGCACAAAAAAACCCCACACAATGTTAGCCAGTTGATTCTTGATGCTCAGTGTATTATGTGACTTTCAGAGATTGGCACTAATGTACTATAGTCAATCAAGTTGGGCATTTCGTAACCTAACCGGTCAATTTAATTACTGCTTAACATAATTTGGGAGTTTTGCATCAATGTTTCTCCAGTGATTAGTTAGTCAGATATGGGAGCATGCATGGAAAGCAAGCTATGGTAAGCAGCTGAGGTTATAAAGGAGGGACAAAAAGAATGCAAGAAAAGAGTTTTTAGTTGGATGGGTAAGAACTAGGATCTTCAAAAATCCTTGCATGTATTTCCTTCTTTCCAAATCACAAAAGAGGGACCAAGGAGGGAAAGGGATAAAACCAGGCTGAGTGTGAGGAGGTCGGCAGAGATGCCTCCAGCAGGTCATCTACCCCCAGCCTAGGGGCCCAATAGGGTGCCATACTTGCTCTTTTAGGGGACGTTGTACAGGACAGACTCAGGCTGCATGGCAGGGTGACACAGACAAGAGGCTGGCCCCCAAGAGGCAAAGGAGGAGTCCCTCAAGCCGGTGCACGCCCTGAAGGATGATGCAACTCAAACAGAGAATCCTCCTGCCAAAACCTGAAAGAATGTAACAGGTCCTGCTCCAACAGCCCAGGACAGGGCAACACAAACAGGCTTTCCCTCCCAAACCCCAGGGATGGCAGCTGGCTCAGCCACAACAGAACACTCTCTACAGGAGGGGGAATGGAGCAGAAGGGGGAGGGAAGTGGCGGATATAAGGGAGGCATTGGAGGCAGTGAGAGAACAGTCAGCAAGAGAAGGAGAAGGAAGGGAGTCTCCTGATCCGACAGTGGAGGAGGAGGAGGAGGAGGAGGAGGAAGGGACTTGGGGAGATACCAAGAGGAGTGGTCGAATTACTCTCCAGGTTGAGGAGGTTGAGGGAGATTCACCGGAGTCCCCAGGGAGTGGGATTACATGGTGAAAGGCAACCCCTGGAGAGCTTAGGGTCTCTAGAGAGAGGGACTCAAACATCAGTAACCTCATGCTCCTCCCCAACTCCATTACTGGGGAAAGAGATGCTGATGGTGGGGCTCTCCATTGTATTTCTGTGTCACTGAATGGGAGCCAACTCTGACCCAGCTGTGGTGCCGGACACAACAATGCCAGAAGGCCCGTCACCGAACTCTGTGTCGCCAAACGATGCCATCGTAAGATGGCAGGTGACCCCCAGGAGAGGACAAACGGGGCAGAACCCCAAGTCTTTCCTGCATTTACTGAGGAGAGTATGTTGCTTTAGCGTCTATTGTGCAGATGTCATTATAGTAATTTGGACGGTGAGAGAAGGCAATGGAGAAAAAATCTGAATAAAAAGGTTAGCATTCAAGGTTATGATAGTCTTACAGCCTAAGATTCATTCTGATCAAATATGCACTTCAAAATTCACATTTGGAGAACTTGTTTTGTGCAATGAGTAGAGTGCTGCACTTGGATTTCGGAGATATAGGGTTCAAATTCCCATTCAGCCATGAACCACACTGGTTGACCAAGAACCAGAGAATTTCTCTCAACTGGATCTATCTGAAAGGCATACTGTTGTGAGGGCAAAGTAAGGAGGAGACAAGCTACGTACACTGCCTTGAGTTCACTGGAGGAAAGACCCGGTATAAATGTAAATGTTAAATAAATGCTTGGGTTCTTCATTACTATGTAGACTTTTACTTTTGCATCACTAGCATCCATCGTACACATAACTGAACGCATAATGAATGGCCTAGAAGATGATAGCATACACCTACCCAGCTCAGGTTTGTCCAGTAAACTGATAAGAATTCGGAAAGGCTTCAGGTCCTGCATCAATGTGCTCTCCTCCCCATGCCCGTTGACTTGCAAGATTCCCACCATAGCCTGCAAAAGACACTTTAGAATCAAATAATAACAAAGAGAACTAAGGAAAACCTGAATGTAGGTCCAGTGAGAAACCACTCATCATGCTGCAGCCCATTCCTATGGGCACAGCCCACAGTGTTGCACATATTCTATACAAAGAACCACAGATTCTCCAGTGGAGTCCAATCTAGACAGCTACGACCAGGCTAATACAATCTTCCCATTAATACACTGAGTAAATGGGAATGCTCTATATGCATTTAAATAAAATTCTAGAGAGTAATTTAATATGTTGTCATTGTTTTGTACATGGATAAACCAATTTAATGTAAAAGCAAACTAAAATCCTAACAATAAAGAAAAATAATGGAACAAGCAAAAAAAAAAGAGACTAAAGCCACATTTACTTTAAAAGCATTCCTCCAGAAACAAGTTGCTTTGCATGCTGATTTCTTGCAAGTAAACAAGTTACTTCAATACCATTCTTTCTAGAAAAAAAGTTCCTTTTTTGAACTGAAACTCCCAGAATTGCCCATGCCAGTAGAAGATTCTGGGAACTGTATTATAAAAAGGCAACTGATCTAAGCTCTGCAATTTCCCCTAAACAATAAGGCCAAGAGTGGGTCCCACTACTAGATACATACCTTACTCCCTGTTCCCAATACACAAGCAACAGTACAAAAGTATGAGTACCTGAACTAGCATATCCTTAGAAAACGTATTGAAGTAGTATGTAGCATGTTCTTCGGGATTACTATGCCGTGTGCTTCTAGGCCCTATAATGGCACCATTGTTATCAAAACCTCCAAGTAAAGAAAAGAAAATGGCACGTTAATGCAATGCTTAAATAAACTGGCAGAGAACAGCAAACTGTGTGGACAACAGCTTAGGTCTGATAACTTACCATTTTGCCGTCCAAATATTGTTGGCAAGAGGAAAGACCATTTTACATTAAATTTAATAGAACTCAACTAGTTGCATTACAGACCAAAGTATCAGGTTGCTTTCATTTCTAGAGGGATTCCTCACATTCTGGAACATGAATGCCACATTAACTTTTTTTTCCAAGGGAAAAAAAAGTAGCATTCAGAAAAAATTAAACCAGAAACAATAGCACAACAGTAGTAACTGTCACTGTTCCTCTTGAGTGCCTAAATTGTTTCAACTCCATTACCTTATTCGAATCCTTATAATTCTTAAATAGATGAATGTATCGAACTGAGACAGAGAAGAGTTGCTTACCTAGAGCCATTTAATAAGTTCAGAAGTGATATAAGGAACTAAGAAGCTCCTGGTTCACAGTCTCTTAAGATGCCTTGCTGAATATAGGGGACTTGCTTCTGAATATATATGGTCACACAGAGAAACAGTGGTGCCTCGCTAGACAGTTACCCCGCATGACAGTTTTTTCGTTAGGCACTGCGATCGCTATAGTGATTTGCAAAACAGTGATTCCTATGAGGGAATTTCGCTGGACAAAGTTTGGTCCCTGCTTCGCAAACCAATTTTCGCTAGACAACTACATTTTTACAGCTCCCTCCGCGCTCACAAACAGGTGTTTTCGAGACCTAAGCTTCGCAAGACAGCTATTTAAACAGCTGATCGGCGGTTCGCAAAGCGGCTTTCCTATGGCCGATCTTCGCTAGAAAACAACGATTCTTCCTCATTGGAACACATTAAACAGGTTTCAATGCATTCCAATGGGGAAATGTTTTTCACTAGACAATAATTTTGCTAAACAGCGATTTCAGTGGAATGGATTATCATGGGGGCCACAGACTGGAAACAATTATTCAAGGACTCAAATATAAAGTAAATCTCCCTAGAGGAAATGAAAATGTTGCTGTCAATGAAAAGTTAACCTGGTTATTCCTGGCCTCTGATGTTTTCAAACTAATGGAACATTATCTAATCAAAGGCTGCTTACCATCACCCCACATAGTTTTCTCCCCTTAATGCTGCTTTAGATCAGCCATTCGGTCCCCTGGGGATCATGGAACACTTGAAGGGGGCCACAGACTGGAAACAATTATTCACACACCATCTTATAAGGTTCATTATGTGACTTACACAATCCTGATTTAGCTTACATTTCTTTCATACTGTGTTTATAGCCATAAAAAAGGTTAAGAATGGATGCTTAAGACAGTCAATTATTTAAGCTGAGTTGAATATGAAGCAAAGGTATGAGTAGCAAAGACATTATTTGTATGATAGCACAGGGTCTTACAAAAGCTGCCCTCTTCAAATTAACACAAAACAATATCTACATGTTCTGTGTTGTTGATGATATATCGTGATCACCTATGGTTTTAAACAATACAACCTGTTCAAAGTTCTACAAAAATATCCAAATATTAATAAAGCTATTAATTTGAATGTTATTATTAAAACCATATAACAAAACAAAGGGGAGAAAAATAAGAGGGAAAAAGCTTCATAAAATGGCCATCTGCCTTATCACTAATGTTTCCAGAAAATAAGAGCAAGCTAACTGGGTTTTCAGAGGAAACTCCACCTGAGGCAGTGTGACCTTATCTTAGAGCAGCCTGGACGGATCAGTCCTATCTAGTACAGCATCCCATCTCCTACAGTAGACAACCAGATGTCCACAGGAAGTCCAAATCCAGATATAACTTCTATTACTGTATTCTGTGTGCTATGTATTCGTCAAATCTCTCTTACACGAGGACTAGAATGTAGAACAAGTCCTTCTTTGAAGCTATTTGTGTATGGGTAAACTCATAAGTTTACCCATAAGGAGGGATGTGGTGGCGCTATGGGTTAAACCTCAGAAGTCTCTGTGCTGCAAGGTCAGAAGACCAGCAGTTGTAAGATCAAATCCATGTGATGGAGGGAGCTCCTGTCGCTTGTCCTAGCTCCTGCCAATCTAGCAGTTGGAAAGCTTGTAAAATGTGAGTAGATAAATAGGTACCACCATGGTGGGAAGTAAATGGCATTCCGTGTCTAGTCACATTGGCCACGTGACCACGGAAACTGTCTACAGACAAACGCTGGCTCTATGGCTTGGAAACGGGCATGAGCACCAACTCTAGAGTCGGACATGACTGGACTAAATGTCAAGGGGAACCTTTACCTTTACCTAAACTCATAAGGGATGACACACTTCCATAACCCTTAGGATAGTTCATTGGTTTAGGTTTCTGGCTGTAGCGCCATAGGTTGGGAGTTCAATCCCCGTTGTGCCTCCTTGAGAAAGGCTGGACTTGATGATCCATAGGGCCCCTTCCAGCTCTGTAATTCTAAGAGGATGATGATGAAAATTTACACTTTCAGTTATACTGGTGATTTTATGGGGGGTAAGTTTTTGTTTGGTTTCTTTTAATATGTTTTATATGGTTTTAATATTTTTAGCTGGATGTTTTATAATATTTTGTAAGCCACTCAAAGTAGTGGCATGCTTAGTAAATGGACGGAATATAAACAAACAAACAAAATGAGAATTAACAATCCCATTTTAGCTCAGATTTACTCTCTATGACCCATCACAGAATTATATAGGTAACTCCAGTTTGAAATAGATCGAAAGTTTCAGGATACTTAATAAGAGCAGAGCCAGTTGTCATACATTAGAGTTGAGCCTGAAGGAAACCACGGTACAGTAGCCAGGATGCTCTTTAGTAGGCACAGTTGTGGTTGATGAAACAGTCCAGCCTGAAAGAAGGTCTTCCTGGCCCTACCTGGCTTTCCATAGAACCACAGAACAATTGAGTTGGAAAGGGGCCTTATAAAGCCATCGAGTCCAACCCTTCGCTCAACGCAGGAAGCCAAGTCAAAGCAGTCATTTGACAGATGGTTGCTCAATTTTCTCTTCGGTGCCTCCAGGGTTAGAGCACTCACCATCTCCAGAAGTAATTGCTTCCATGGTTGCACTGCTCTAACAGTTATGAAGTTTCTTCTAATATTCACCCTACATCTGGCTTCCTGTAATTTGAGCCCATTGCTGTGTATCCTGCACTCTGGGATGATCGAGAACAGATCCTGCCCCTCCTCTGTATGATAGCCTTTGAAGTATTAGAAAAAGTACTGTCATATCTCCTCTCAGTCTTCTTTCTCAAGACTAAACATGCCCAGTTCTTTCAGTCTTTTCTCACAGGACTTGGTTTCCAGTCCCCTGATCATCCTTGTTGCCCTCCTCTAATCTTGCTCCATTTTGTTGGCATACTGCTTAGTGTGGTGTCCAGAAGTGGACCCAATACTCTAGATGAGGCCTAAACAGTGCTGAATAGAGGGGGACTAGTACCTCCTGGGATTTGGCGACTATACTTCAGTTAGTGCAGGTTGCCTTTTAGTAAACCAGATACAAAGTGGAGTCCAGAGGCACTCAAAAACAACACATTTAAACTCTCCTGCAGAAAGAACATGGCCCCAACCCAAATAGGAAAAACACACAATTGAAGGAGTCCTCCCACCATTAACATCACAGTTTTGTCTGGATTGAGTCTGACAGGAGAACAGACCAAAGCAGCCCAAATCTTCAAGCAATGCCTCTACATTGTTTCATGTTGACGAGGAAAATGAATGGAGGTAGGAAGGCAGGTGGGACAGAAGACCCTGCAGAACCACACAGGACAGATTCCAACATGTCAAGTAGTAGTTACCCAGCATTAGACTTTATCCTCTTAGAGCTTATGGGTCTTTTTCACCTCCCCCGCCCACGCTGTTAGTGAGCAGCAGTTCATACAGTTGCCATACATATTTAATCAATGTCAATGTTTTAAACATTGATCACTTAAAATTTATTCAGAAAAAAAATCTGTCATTTCTTTTAAGGATTTTTACAAACTGAAAAGAAAACTATTCAAATAAGTAACACAGACGAAAGTAAATAAAACAAATCCTGCACCTACCTAGAAGCCAGGCATAAAGCCTTCTATTGAGTGACATATCTCTGCGCAGAACTACATGTAGAGATGCTGACAGAATTCTGATCATATCTGGGCGTGTTGCCTAAAATCAGGAACGTTACATTAAGAAAAACAGCAACAAGTGTCACAATCAATGGGTTGGTTGTACAGTTGGGGAAAGATTTGAATTTACTTCCCAATGCCAAAAGATTTGTGCAGTGTGAGATCTGGGGCCTAAAAAACCTGAACGTATTTTCTTAGGATAAGCTTACCCCCCCCAACTTCACTCCCACTGGAGTTTCTTGAGCTTCAGCAGACAATGACCACAACTCTGTTTGCAGTCCGTCACAAACAATTTAATTTGAGAAGAGGATATATTGGAACAAATCCTTGATTACAAATAGTATAAATAATTACCAAGAAATGAAAATTGATCATTTTCTCACTAACAGTGTTTTAAAGGAAATTTAAATGTTTAAGCCTAGATCAATCTCATATAAACAAAGTGAATGACCCAAGATATCAAATGTAATCTAAGCATCCACATTTAAAATAAAGAGTGGCTTAATTAGAATTGCCAGTCTATTTCTAAGACAGATCCCAGAACTGCTCTTACATAAGCTATTTTTTATGAAGGTGATGGTAGAAATGGATTATTAATTTTGCCTGCCTATAGTTTGTTTGTTTGTTTATTTATAAGATTTTTTTAGCAGTGCTATTACCAGTGGTCTCTGAGTGGCATAAAACAACATTAAAACTTTAGAACCATTAAAACCATTAAAATAGGCAAAATTAAAAACATTTATTAAAATATTAATATTAATAAATCCTGCTGCTCATATGGCCAGCTAAAGAATACTATTTAATTAAAATGCTGGCTAAACAGAAAGGTCTTTGCCTGGCACTGATATCTAGTGAATTAGATACATCTAGTTAATAGCCTGGCGCAGATATCTAGTTAATTAGATATACTGTATCTAGTTAATATAGAAGGTGTACCAGATAATTACTAGGTTTTACTCACTTTCAAACAATGGTACTTCTGCATTAATAGGGAGATAAATATGATAAATTGTGACTACCAATCTCCATTACCCAAACCTAAACCAGCCAAGAGTCCTGTGGCATCTCTTAAGACTGACAAGTTTCATTTGGCATCAGCTTTCGTGGACTACAGACCACTTCTTCATATGTATGGAATATATCGCCTCAGTAGATCTTTAAGGATCATTGACCATCCTTGAAGGTGACAAACAGAGGTCTAAATGCTACATTCCAAAAGATATCAATAGCTGCTGATTGACTGGCAATACACAGACTCTCTTGCATCTCCATTATAGTTCATTGTCTCTCCTCCCTACTACTGTATAAATGGCTGTCCACTGAGGCAGTCACGCATCTGAGGAAGTGGGCTGCAGTCTATAAAACTTTATTACTTTTACTTTTAACTTGCTCCTGTTAAAGGTGTCACAGGACTCCTTGCTGTTTTTGCTGCAGATTAATGTTGCTAACCTTCTTAAAAAATCTCCCCCACTAGTTTCTCAGCTCTTGCTTCTTTATCCGAAAGGTGCTGACAAACCCACCAGCATTATTTTGGCTCAACTAGCTTTATCTAATAATCTCTTGGAAGATGAGCAATGATGCCTTTGAGGACCTCCAACAAACGCCTCCATTTCAATTGTGGAAGGCCCATTTTGTGAACGTTGCATTGCATTAGACTCTGAAGTGAGACCTATGGTGCAAATCCGAGGTCCCTGCAATGGTGCTTGCAGGCCCTGCTACACCCACAGGACCTGAGGAACTTCCCACCAAACTACTCATTCTCTGAGTTGCCATAGTGAAGCGGTTAAGAGAGAGACAAAGACCTTCTAAAAAACAAATGGGGGGAAGGAGAAGCCCAACAACTGCAAGCTCTGTTGCCTCAAGAGCTTGTAGTTTGCATTCATCCATCACAGCCCAGGTAACTTCTCCCTCCCCTTTAAGGGAATTTCTCCATTTCTCCATATGGAGAGAAAATCCTGCCCTGCTGAAAGACAGAAGCGTAGAATGATTCCTGTCCCCTTCCAGGTCCCTTGAGGGAACAAGATTCTTGGTGAGGGCTGTGTTTCTCCTCTAGCACTTCATCCATTTTTTGGCAGGGTATGATTCCCTGTCACCTTTTTTCAAACAAAGCAGTGGGTCTCAACCTTTGACCATCCACATGTTTTGGGCTGCAACTCCTAGAAGCCACAGCCTCTGCAGTCGTTGTCCAAGTTCACAACCTCTGGAGGACCAAAAGTTGAAGACCGCTGAAATAAAGGGAGCAACTTCTGTATCCACTTCAACACAGGCCAAATAATCTGGCCCATTAAAAAAAAAACATGACTGAAAAGTCATGGGTGGGAACCCAAAATAAATAAATAAGAAAGGAAGTGGAGAGTACACTTGTCTCCCCAGTTATTTTTCAGCAAAGTATTTCCATGTTTTTCAACTGAAGGGAGCTACTGCTTGATTTATGTGAACAGAGGCAGAACATTTAAGAGATTTATTAAGACAGTATCCTTGTGACTAAAGAGTTAGTCTGTGGCACAAGAATGTACTAAGCAGATCCTGATAATCTGGCTGAAAAATTGCGCTCTTGGGGTAATATCCATATGCAACACTGAACACACATTCAATGGTATTTTTTACCTGACTCATGTGGAATGGAAAACAGAAAAGTATCAGATCCAGTGTGCTCCTCTGTACTAATACACTGGAATCCTGCACTGAAGTGCTCACTGCTTCTACCTGAAATACAATTGCAGTTAAAAACATGCAAAATCAATAACACTTATTTTATAGTGCATTATCAGTAATACAGCTTTGTTTACTTTACAAAAAACGCATGCACACAACTGTCACAGGCCCCTTTTAATCATGACCACAACTTCATGACCATGCCCACCAACTCCCTGATTCCCCCATATATGGCAAGCTAAGTGTAACTGTGCCTTTGTTTTCTTCACAGGACCTGGGTGCTCACTTTTATGCTTGGTGTCTGAACACTACATGTGTGTGTGTAGTAGTCTTGGAGGGCACTGGCAAGCAAACCGAGCAGAGAACAGTAACCACTGTCATGCTCCTCCACTTACAGAGGAGAGATCAAAGGAGCAAACCTCTGAGGGACCGGTTCCTAATTGGGTCAGTATCAAAGCAATATTCCAAACAGAAAGAACAAAAATGCAGTGTTCATGGAAATAAAGTTCTGAAAAATTTGGAAGACATAAAAAGTATCACATACTCAAATATATAACCTATAATGCTATGGTATGCAACAAATATTGAAGTACATCACATAACAGCTTGCCCCACACATGCCCTAGCTCCTTGTTTATACATATTTATATAGATCTGGGGCAGCATCTACATTGCGAAAAAAGAAAAGAAAAGTTGGTTGATGTTTCTGGAAACAAAATATAAGCAGTAATCCAGTAATAAGTCACAGCTCAAACAGGCTCACTAAAACAGTGAGGAATTTGGTTAGTCAACTCCTCTGTAAGTTCTGTTGACTCAATGGGCCTACTCTAGTTGTTATTTAATACTGGAGCAGCTTTCTGTAGACAGAAGATGTCATTCTGTCCTGGGAAGGAGGCACACCATAGATCAAAGCGTATGCATTTCAGCAAAAATCATATTAAATTCCAATATCATAAAAGCAGAGAAAATTACAAGCAGCATTGGGCAAAACTCTTGAGCAAAGGCCAGCCAACATGAAACCCTTTCACTGATTTCCAGTGGAAATACTGAACTCACTAAAATCAATGGGACTTTGAAAGTGCTTAGAAGCTGCACTTAGATTTAGTTTGATGATTAAGACACTTAATTTGTCATATTGTTATATGGGTTGTATCAAGTACTAGTCATCCAGATATTGTGGACAAATGAGAGAGTGCTAGATCAAATCACATGTGGATTCTCAACGGACTGAACTGAAGCTTTCAGACTTGGAGCATGTTATGAGAAGAGAGCACTCACTGAAAAAGAAAATAACACTAGGATGTTATATGTTGGTAACAGGAGGAAAAGAGGAAGACCCAATATGAGATGAATTGACTCTGCAAATGAAGCCAAGGTCTTTAATATACCAGATTATATTATAATATCTTGGAGATGATGAATTCATAGGTTCACTATAAGCAACCTGAGAGCACATACCAGCAGCAGTAACAACACATGAAAAGTCTGCAATATAGTTGCTACCGTTACATGCATTTCAATATTATTATTTCATAAAGTGGGCTGTTTATTGGATCAACAAAGCTTTACTGATACATACCATCAGTTCGATGTCGCTGCCTATTATATAGAGCTGGTCTTCCATAGAAAGCTTCCTGTTGAGGTGGGAGAGGACGTAAGTAATTCCAGGCAACCGAACTGCTGGACTAGTCAGAAGACTGCCCCACAGTGCACTGTAGAAAGCCGACTGGTCCACTGCAGCAGCCACTTTTTCCAACAGGGTGTTTGTTCTGTGGCACAAATGATGCAAGGGTGGGGTGGGGAAGTGTGTGTGCAGAAAAAAAACACAGGATAGAGTTTCATTAACTACAACAAACATTCGGAAAAACAAACCACCTAAAACTAAAACAAACCCCAGCTTCATCAAACAAACCAGGAGGAAGATAATTTAAGTGAGGAACAAGAGCCTAACAGCTGCTTATAGTCACACGGAAAGCTTGTGTTAACGAGCAGATGCTTTGAGTTTTCCTTAATGAATAACTGCCTCCTTTAACATAACACAACCACTCAAAGGTAGCCGTTGTTTGCAACTCCCTTTCCTCTAATGAGCTCAAGCAACCTTCCATGTCTCTCTTCTCCACTTTATTCTCATAACAATCTGGTTCAGTGGGCCAGGCTCTGAGAGGGTCACCAGCCCAAGATCATAAAGGGGAAACTTTTATAGTTGAATGGGGATTAACTCCTGGATCTTTCATGTTCCAGTCTAGCTCTGAACCACTTAAATGTATTCTAAGAGAACACAGTATCAGTAATTTTATATCGGTTACAGCCTTACCTTTCATAATACTCAGACCCCTCTTCCAAACCAGGAAGTATTCCAGTTAACAACCCCTGCAGGCCTGGTTTCAATGTTTTGCCCAAGGGCAGGTAGTATACCTCATACAGGCTGAGTAAGGCTGGCTTAACAGACATAGCAGCATTGGCAAGAAGAGGAAACAGCCCGGAACTGTAAAGATAAACCAAACATACATACAAACTGTGAAGCTAAACTATGTTATATGTGTTATTTTCACCACTTGATGATGGGCAGAGAGGTTGCTCAATCTATGCACACCCATGCACAACATCACAACAGAGGGGAAACAGCAACATATTGTTTCATAACCATCTAAGCAACTACAGTACAGGGAAAAGTACAACTTTTTATTTTAAGGGTTGCTCAATCTATGCATACCCATGCACAACATCACAACAAAAAGAGGGGAAGTAGCAACATATTGTATCATAACCATCTAAGCAACTACAGGGAAAAGTACAACTTTTTATTTTAAGCATTCTCTGATGAGAAAGATGTTAATTAAACATATCTTTTTTTGATGCTGATTTCCCAAGGAATTGCCCAGAAAATTAGTAGTTGTTATGACTCAATGTCTTAAATCCTATTCAAGTTTGTCTGAGGAAGTATGCCGGGCATTATGCAAAGGCAGCCAGCAATTGATTGTGTGGTCAGTTGTGTGGTTTGTGTCATGACTGTTGCATGCCTACAAAAGTGCTCCATAGATATTACGGTACTTCCATCCTTTTGCAACTGTTTATACTACAGTACTTTCACAGCTTTGTATTATGCATGTATATCTGTGTGACAGAATTTCAGCCATAATTTATTATCACAGATAAGAAAACATTGTTAAGGACACATAGGAAGTTGTCCAAGATGGAACTTACCCTAGTCTTACACAACCAGTAGCTGTGATATTGGAATAAATATCTGTATACACCCAATCAAATGACTTTCTTAATTATACAAGCAACTGAATATAACTCCGGAAGTACATAATATATGTTTAATTGCATTTCAACCATTGACTGGAATCCTGATTCTTTTAACCACAAGTGTAAATGAGCTCTTACATTTGTGCTTTCTCTTTCTTACAATTTGTGCAAGCAGGTACTCATTACCCACTGACATAATCAGAAATCCCCATTCCATTGAATAGGACTCTCTCTGGCTTGCGCCAAATGTTGTGCAGAATGCAACATCTGCAGAGCGTTGCTCTCCATAATTGCCAAAATGATTCTGCCCATTGGGAAAAGAAATACTGGCTGAATCAAATTTAATGCGCTTATATATATATTATGTTGGATCCAGAGATGGCAGGACATCTCTTGTGCAAGCAAACATGTTTTCTCAACTTAGCAAATGATTCTTGGCTGAGAAAAGAGGGCTGGAAGGCAACAGTACACTACCAGGTATTGTGCCAAGTACTGAGATACTCTTGCATGGTATCTCAACTGTGCCAGCTGGAAAGCCTGAATCCAGTACTGTCCCCAGTTGGATGTTCCTTCCTTGCCCATCTGTAGCTCTCTGCTCTGTCTGCAAACACGCTCCAGATAATGTCCCAATCCTCTGAGATTCAGTGGGAGGAGGGAGGTATTGCCCCTTCCACGTCCATAAGGAGGAGCAGTTTCACCAGTGGAGCCCCATAGTGGATACTGGCGAAGACGTTGGGCTGTGGCGTATAAAGTCTTCTTTTTCCTTCCACCCCTTCCATGAGGAGGAATATGCAGTGGACAGAGCTTTGCTCATGTCATGGGTTGTCTAAATCTCTGTTACCATTTTTTCTTTTTAAAACAGCTGAAAAGCCAACGCACATTCATTAACGCAACCTAGACTATATACTTTAAGTATTAATAAAATTCTTGCCTTCCATACTTTGGCCACATTTAGTATATGCACTTCATGCAAGTACAGAGTACAAGTGGAGCTAAGATGGAAGGGAAAATATGGCCAGGGTAGGTTTCTGTCAGTCTTTATGCCTGCTCTCATAGGTAACTAATTCTGGTAACCATCAGATAGTTTCACAGATTCCCAGCTATGTTCATCATAGAAATTTTCTTTTATTGCATAGACATGTTTGCTGGGCAAAACCATTACTTTTCTTCCACTCTAAATTGATGCTTATTTACATAATAAATTGCTACTCTATCTTATTAAAATAATTGCATGTTCTCTAACCACTCTTCCAAGTGCTCTGATTTTTATTACAATTTATACTATCAAAGAAAAAATGGGCAGTGTCCAGTTGCTAAAAAAAGGAGTAATTAATTTAATACTAGAGCTTATGTCTGCAGGTGAGCAGACATATTGAAGTTAGGTGCTTCAATCTGAACTTTTTAAAAATCTTCTCATATGAACATATTAAATTTAGATTATCAAAACAATGGATTATAGAAGAGGGTGTTAATATTAATGCTTATTGCCATATTATGACAAAAAAGTTGGGGTAAACCACAAATAGTCACTGGTTATATTTTCCATGTTCTAGAAGAACATCCTGCCGTGAACATCAGATCTGTATTTATGAAGTGGTGGGGGATAGGAAGCATTTAATTAAATTAAAGATTTCCATCACCAGCTGATGGCATCACTGCCATTTACGATGGCAGAGTTGCACCAACTGGATTCTAGTTAGTGTGTCTCTTCACAGGTATCTGGCAGTCATGCAGGGTGGATTTGATTTAGATCAGATTTATATAAATCATGATTTTAAAAAAATAAGATTTTTTTTCTTTAGTTTGATTTTTATCCACCCTGTGGTCATGTTTATGGGAAGAGGAGGAGAGATGCAACACGGGTGCTTCCTCACACAGTATTCTGTACACACAAATACCTGTAAACATGTTTGCATGAAAGAACTTAGCATTTTGAAAAAGCTCTTGGACACATGAAACTGAATTCATCCCTATTCTTTCTGATTTAAGGAAATATGTGGCGGCAGCCCCTGTGCTCCTTGGGAGCCAAAAAAAAGGTCATCTTCACCATTCTAAAACAGCTGTTCTCACAGTGACTGGCTATAGGCTGACATAAGCCGACAGGATCTTTGAATTATTTCAAATATTTAGCGGTGTTCTTGAAAGCTGCACTAACATACATGGGAAATGTTGTGTTGGATGTATAAAAATATGCTGTTACATTTATTATAACAGAACTAAAATGTGATGAAGGCCAACTAATTCTGAAACTACAGTACAGTATCATGGTCTTTACCTGTATAGGAAGAGGTCTTTGGCAAGGCGCTTGGGCCCAATGATTTTAAAGATAATCTCATATGTTTCAAGGGCCTTGCGGTGCACCCCACCTGGCAAGGCAGGATGAAGGCATTGCGCAAGGCGTTTGCCTACCGTCAACTTTTTTGGTACAACTTGGTACTTTGCATTGTTTTGGAGAACCTGAAAGGAAAAACAGAAATACATTTTTAGAATTGTAGCCAACTGTCAAATGATTCTACCCAGAAAGAAGTTTATCTAATTTAACAGCTGGTAGCCCAATGTTCTGTTCATGTTCTGCTAAGGGAAGTCACAGCATAGTAGGAAAACCCATGTAGCTGACCAAACTGTTGAGTTAATGGAAAAAGCAACCCAGTTACCAAAATACATAGGGGTGTAACCTTTCTATAGGGGAGAGGCTTATTTTAGGATGCATTTTTCTAACTATCCATTTCTTACTTTTACTTTACATTACTACTGCTGAAAACACAGGATATAACTATCTGAATTAAAAAGTAAATATTTGCCCTTTAATGATGTGAAGTAAAAAGTTCCGGCAACATTTCAAGAAAAAAAGGTTGAGTCAGTTGATATGCAAGAGATCTGATTTTGGCATGATGTAAAACATCCCTGCATTTGTATATTCTCCTCTCCATGTCAGTTGAGCTGCTATAATGATTTACGTTACAGAAATCCACTACTACATACTGACCGGCCAACTACGTTTTATGTGAGATCTTGTAGAGGAAGAAGCCATGGTTTGCAACACCCATGCAAACCCACACTGAGAACAAAAGGCATAGCTGTCCAGTTCAAATGCAAGAGCAAAGTACGACTGTCAAAAACATGGTGCCCACAAGTACCGTATTTTTCGCACCATAAGACACACTTTTTTCCCACAAAACAGGGGGGTAGAAAGTCTGTGCGTCTTATGGAGCGAAGAAAACAGATTATATTTTGCTGTTTTCTTCTCCTAAAAAATTGGTGCGTCTTATGGAAAGGTGCGTCTTACGGAGCGAAAAATACGATCAGAAGAAGCCAATCTCAGAAAAAAACCAAGTTTGCTAAGCACTCCAGACAAAACAGTGAAGAGTCACAGTAGACAATTAAGAAAGGAATGTCAAAAAGATACGTAAAGGAAAGAGATACATAAGCACGATACCTTGTTTAGCTTTCCCAGTGAAGAAATTAAGTCAGCCCACTCACTAGAGTACTCAAAACTTTTCAGAGCCTTGTCAACAGCGGCTACATAGTTCCTGTACTTGGAGTCACCCAGTAGTTCCAGCTCCTCTGCATTCATCCTCCCGCGGAGTGCTACTAGAGAACAGCTTGCAATTCATGTAAAGGCGTTAACTGAAAAGACACAATTGTTTGTGTTGATCCACATTATCACTGTTAACACTGTTAACCAACCAAACAGCTGGTGCCTAGAGAAATACTACAAAATCTGCAAGAACGCTGGCTTGGAAAAGGGGGCACCTTCTTTTCCTCCAAACCTCACCGTCATTCAGCATGGTTCCCGGATGCTCAATCTTTTCGGGCAGGAGGCTGCTAAAAAATGAGGAAGCAGAAAAGTCAAATTCCATCGCTGCCCCTTCTGCTTGATCCAAGCCAAGAGAGAGCTAATAATTCTGGAAAGCACCACAGAAAGCATCACAGGAACAAATCCTGCTTGATGTATGAAGCAATGATCACACTTTTTTAAAGTTTATTCAATCTAGATACCACTCCATTAGTACAAGCACTACCCCGGAAGGGGAAAAATGCTATACCCTTTTGTAGGAAGAGATCATACAACTTATAAAATTAGGGCTCAAGTGTACAAGCTGTGTGATTCACCAAGTTGAATGCAGCCTATTAACACACTGTGTCTACCCAGTCGCTCAGAAATCCTCTTGTTCGGTGATTCTAGGCAAGCAAATGAAGCAAGACTCTGGGAAATGTTGGCTAGGGCACTGCATTTAACTTAAGTAAGTCTCACAACCCCCCCACCCCCCACAAATGAAATGAAAAATGGAAATATGGACATGCATGGCCGATTTGAGTCATCAAATCACATATGCTGAGAGCAAAGTCATTCCAAAGCCGCAACTCCTGGCTCCCAGACATTTTACACGTTGCACTCCCCAGAGAGCCATCACAGCTTCTTCCCCTAGGCATCACATAGCCTTCTGCATTTTACTAACAAGAGGCAGCAGTTGAAGGCAGTGGCCCAGATCCAGACAGGTGAGCAGTAATCCACAGACCTACTTCTCCCTGCAGTTGCTGCTCATTGCCCCAAAATCACTCCTGCAAAGGGGGAAGGCAGGGCAGTGCGATATGGGATAAGGCAACATCTCAAATATTTACCACAAGGAGGTCAGTAAGAGAGATGAAATGCCTTAAGAGACAAGTTGGACATCACTACTGCTTTTCCTTGCTGGAAAAAATTGCAGAACTCAGTATCTTAAGGAACATATTATCCCAATGCTTTGAGAACACTGTCTGAGGCCAATCATTCATTTATTTACAAATTTATGTTCCACTTTTAAAGACAGGTATTTTTAAAAGTATCGCCACCAAGTGAGATATTGGCCATCAATGAAAAGGCCTTTTTTTAAACAAATAGCTAATTGTCTATTTAATGCCATCTCTTGTAAACCCCCACCCTCAACTATTGCAATGCATTTTCAGTGTCAAAGATTTGTTTTTCCAGGCCATTTGAATTGTGGATGTTTTTATTGTTCTACTCTCTACTTCTGAGCTCTGATTTGATTCTCACTGGTCTGGCTGACTTTCCACATACTGTATTACTGTATTTCAACTTTCTGTTATGTTGTTGTCTATAAATAGCCTGCATATACCACAATATTTAATAGCCTTAGCACTGCAGAGCTTTTGGAATGGTGGCTCATTCTAGAGACACAGAAGGAACCTTGCAGATTTTGGAAACATTACTATTTAGACTACAACTCCCATAATCACATGGTGGCTGTGACTTTTTAGGAAGGAAAGAACAAGACAGCATCTATTTACTTTTTTTTATTGTGGGTCCAGCAGAAGATGAAGATAACCCCACCACTGGAATGCCCATCAGATCTTTTATTAAACGTTATTCTTTTTATGTTGAATTTTTAAGTTTATGATGTTTCTAATTAATAATGTTTAGTGTATGTTTATCTTTTATATTCTTTCAATGTTACTTTATTTTATTTTATTATTGCTGATTAGTGGTCTATTTTCTATTGTGAACAGCGCCACTGGTAGCCAAATGGGTGGTATAGGTAAAGGTAAAGGTTCCCCTTGACAATTTGTCCAGTCATCTCCGACTCTAGGGGGTGGTGCTCATCTCTGTTTCCAACCCATAGAGCTAGTGTTTGTCCAAAGACAAACTTCCGTGGTCACGTGGCCAGTGCGACTAGACACAGAACGCCATTACCTTCCCAGTGGTGGTACCTATTTATTTACTCACATTTTGCATGCTTTCAAACCATTATGTTGCCAGGAGCTGGGACAAGCGACGGGGGCTCACTCGTGGATTCGATCTTACGACTGCAGGTCTTCTGACCTTGTAGCACAGAGGCTTCTTGCAGTTTAACCCGCAGCGCCACCACATCCCAAAAATGGGTGGTATACAAATCGAATAAATAAATATTTCCGTGACTTCAACTATTTCCAAAAGATATTGCCGAAACGAATTTTATATCAGGAACATAAAAAGCAGATTATTCTGTAGCTATCAAGAATAAATTATTGCATATATACCTATGACAATATTCTAAAAAAGCAGGATTCCAATACCTTCCTTCACTGGTGATAGAAAAGGAATGCAAAAGTCGAGGGAAATTAAAAGATACCACACATATAATATTTTGGTTTGGAGAACCTGAGAAATACTGTTTCAGTCTTCAAACTACAGCATATGGATTGCTGTGCGAATCCTGAAAAATGCTTATTAATAAAATATTTTGCTAGATGAGAGTTATTTCAAGTACCAGAGTGAAAGAACTTGCACTCAGTGACTTCTGCTAAATCTTCTGACCCTCCAGGATTTCAATGAGGGTCTGCCGTAGGCTTAAGATTACAGGCTGCAATTGTTTTATATTTTCTGAACTCATTGAAAATTTGCAAATGAGGCCAATTTACTGACAGATTATTTCATTATGTTTCTTTCTTGGCAACATGAAAAAATGGCATGAGAGAATTCTTGCCTTAATACATTACAACGGCTGGGACAAGAAGTACCTTACTGGTAATAGATTTGTTTTGACAATTTTTGTCCCCAGACGTTTTCTATTCATAAAAGGTTAGAAAAAATAAATCTGTACAAAGCTGGTGACTTAATTCCTGTTGTGCAGCTCTGAATACACAATGATTTTCGATGGAAAATCACCGTGGGTGAAAGATTATTTTGGGACAGGGAGGCACATAACTCATATACAATTCCTTAAAGTCAAATACATCTCCCAAAACAATTCAGTTGATTTTAGTACCTTTTATTTATCCATTTATTTTTACACAATAGTTTAAAATAAATTTAAATGAAAGTTCAACTTTAAAATAATTTAACAATGGCAACAGAGAAATACAAGACCATGATTTCTTAGCTAACACTACTACCTTACAGGCCTTGAGGTGGGGGTTTTAACTCAAGTATTGGCACAGAGCAGTGGTTCCCAACCTTTTTCAAGCCAAGTAACCTACGATACCCACCACCACATTTGCATAAAAAGACACTTTTAATGAAGTCTTTCTTTCTCAAAAGACCCCATTTCTTATATATGCACATACTGTACACTTAAATAACCTGCTCCAAAAGGTCAAGAAAGAAATTATTTAACAAGGGCTGCAACACATCTAAGGTGACCTGTGACGTCCTTGAGGTCACAACTCCTAGATTGGGGAACACTGGATTTGAGCTTTGGAAACTGGTAAAAACTAGGGTGAATTGGTAGTACTTGACTAATTGTTTCTAGACAAGAAATAAATTATTCAAGCAATTAGAGCTAGTTTTCTGAATCATTAGTTTCCAAATCAGCACTGTAGCTTCATTAATTTAAGAAACCATCTTTGCTCATTTCTTTTTGGGATATATTGCCTGTTACAATTCTCCTGCACTCACAGAACTGTGGCCAAAAGAGATTTCATAGGTTTCAGTGAAATACATTTCAAAATGGCCTAAATATACTCTTAAATAAAATATATTTCTAATATAGGTAAAGGTTCCCCTTGACATTTTTATGTCCAGTCGTGTTCGACTCTAGGGGGCGGTGCTCATCCCCGTTTCCAAGCCATAGAGCCAGCGTTTTGCCCGAAGCCAGTCTTCCTTGGTCACATGGCCAGTGCGACTTAGACACGGAACGCTATTACCTTCCCACCAAGGTGGTCCCTATTTATCTACTCACATTTTGCATGCTTTCGAACCGCTAGGTTGGCGGGAGCTGGGACAAGCAACAAGCGCTCACTTCGTCACATGGATTTTATCTTACAGCTAAAGATCTACAGACCTCAAAGCACAAAGGCTTCTGCGGTTTAACCCGTAGTGTCACCACGTGGCAACTTATTTCTAATAAGTTCCTGTCGTCGGGGGAGTCGCTGGTAACATCTGCCATCCCCGTGCCACCATGTGGCAACTTATTTCTAATATATTTGTCTCTTAATCAATAAACATTCCAGAAAACCTGACACCTCAAAAGTACAATACAGGGTTGAAGAGTTCTGCTGACAAGTTATTCGTCTCTTAATCAATAAACTTTCCAGAAAACCTGACACCTCAAACGTACAGGGTTGAAGAGTTCTGCTGACAAGTTCCTGACACCTCAAAAGTACAATACAGGGTTGAAGAGTTCTGCTGACAAGTTTATCTCTGAGAATCTTAAAAGATGTCACTTACAAAGAGTTTATATACAACTGGTGGAAGTGAAGTAAAGAATATTTTAAAATGTATACAATATAGTGTTTCTATAGACTGATACATATCCTGTATTAGTAATTTTGCAGCAATAATTGCCTGTTGGTCCTGCTTTTGATGTTCAGGACCATATCTTCCCACCATTCCATTTTAATGGAAGATTTAGCTCAGTGGTTCTCAACCTTGCCTCCCCAGGCATTCTTGGAATAAAACTCCCAGACGCTTTCACCACTAACCGGGCTGGCCAGGATTTCTGAGATTTGTAGTCCACCAACATCTGGGGACCCACTTTTGGGAACCACTGTTCTAGCCCAAAACATCTGCAAGACACTGCATTATAGGAGATTCCCTTGTAGCTATTATGTAACCTGGTTTGTTCTTTTATGTCACACTGGAAATACTGTAGGAGGTTTAGGCTGAAAGGAGAACCCTGCATAAAGTCACATAAAATCTGAACCATGGGTTTCTTAGAATAGTTATAGCATTGTAACAGCCAAAATCTTAGTGTAAGGAAGTCTAATTTTCAGGTAAAGAGGCCAAAGATATTTTAATTTTAGTGGCTTCAGTCTTGGTTATTTCCTTCACAAATGAATCTTAGATTTGTATTCGCGAACGCTTTCACGGCCAGGATCTAATGGTTGTTATGGGTTTTTTGGGCTCTTTGACCGTGTTCTGAAGGTTGTTCTTCCTAACGTTTCGCCAGTCTCTTTGGCCGGCATCTTTAGAGGACAGGAATAGAACTCTGTGCTCTGGTGGTGTTTGTTTGGGAGTTGAGTATTTATAGCTGTGGGGTCAGCTTTTGTCCTTTTCAGGAGATGGGCGATTATGGTGATCAGTGTGTTTTGTTGTGGGTGTATTGTTGTGATAAGGAGGAGACCATAAACACCCATCTCCTTATAAGGAGGAGACCATAATCATATTCTAAGGAAAAAGTATTGAAAAGTCCACCAAAGCTGATCTGATCACTGTACTTCGCACATCAGCTAAATATTTTTCAAATGAATATAGGAAGAGCATGAAGACAAAAAGGTTTTCAGAAAACTAACAAGCTATGTCAAACAATGGGCCATTATACCTAATCAAATGATATTTCTCCCTACAAACATTTGAATATAGAGTTCTAATATATAATTAATCTTTAAAGGTAAGAGCTGAAAGCTGGCTCACTTGGCTAACAGCAGTCTTTTGTTGTACCTAAAGTTACTGTTCATACAATTGACAATTGTGCGTTTTGATTCTTACATATTTGCTTTGTGTTGCATGACACCCTGCACACTGACAGAATTGTAATTACTTCTCCAAGCTAGGAAATATGCAACTTTAAGAAGGTTATATGCACCATCACACCAGTGCCTTCATATGGGTCTTATATGCAGCCCTGTTTGTTAATACGTGCTTGAAGGTTGTGGCTTATTTATTAAACATGGCTTTCTCCTGGATAGCCTTTGTGAATTAGTGCCCTTCAGAGGTTTTGAATTGTAATTCTCACATTTCTCACCATTCACCATGCTGGCTGAACTGGATGGTCCAAAACATCTGGAGAAGACTGGGTTGGGGAATACATTTCTAAGCCATCTTCAGAAAATTTTCAACACAAGTTCTACCACAAATCCAAATATAGAGACAAGAATCCACAAACAGTGGCCGTCAAAAATTTAACAGAGGAAATCCTTAGTAATGACATTTCCATACCATTTCCAGAAATACAGGGGAAGCATATTGAAAATCTTCTATAATGGCAGAAGGCTATGTCTTCTATTGAGTGCAGCATCAGAGTAAGGTATTACACACACCATCATACCTTGCTCCTTCCTTCCTTCCTTGTAAGCCTCATCATCATCCAGCAGTTACATTTGTGGTGAAACTGACCACCTTGGCCTTCCTTCTGCCAGAAATCTGTTTAACTCATACTGCCTCCAACCACTTTGGGACTGTAGTGCCCATCAACCACAGAAAGCATAGCTGATTATGGCAGTTGCAGTACAACATCTTCCCCATTCCTGCCCTAACAAAACCTCTATTATTCTTCCTTTGTAAGTGTCAGCTCCTCACCCTAGCCTGAGCAGAGAAACAGGCAAACAACAGCAGAGGCACAAAGCAAATATGAAACAATTATGCAAAGGCTTCCCTTTGCTTTCCATGCTGGGGAAGAAAGGGTTACAAAATTCCACACACTGAGCCTTCCCATTCTTACTCAATTCCAAGCCAAAACCCCAACAATGGTTCAAAGCATGACCTCTCCCAGGCTACTTCTTCCCTTTTCAAAACACCAGAGTTGAAATATTAACTAAACTGAAAGGAACAGTTTAAAAGCACTCTATTTTCTTCTTTCTTGAAAAGCCCTCCTTTGTTGACTTTGCCCTTTCTCTCATTATCAGTTAGATTAAGAAACTTTCAGTGAACCAGCCTGTTTTGTTTGTTCAGTAATTCTTAACCCTGATAATCATGAGCCATCAAATCAAATTTTCAGCGTTTTCCAGGGAGATTACTCAAAAGTGGTTTACCATTCCCTTCTTCTGGGGGTGCCCTGAAACTTGGCGCGCAGGCTGACTCTACTTGCAGAAGGCATAGTGTGGAATCAAGTCTTCGACCTCTGGCTCCACAACCAGATACCTAATGGAATCAAGTCTTTGACCGCTGGCTCCACAAACAAATACCTAAACCACCGAGCTATCCTACCAAAAAAAGAAAAAGAAAAAAAGGCCAACAGTCTAATCACCCTACTAGTTTATAATTAGCAAGCACTGGCTCTACCAAAAAAGAAAAAGAAAAAAGGCCAACAGTCTAATCATCCTACTAGTTTATAATTAGCAAGCACTGGCAGAGATTTGTAACTCTTCTGTTGCATCCAGAATGGCTATACTGAAATTCCAAGAATACTAGAGATAGTGAAGTAAGGTGGAAATTAATATATTGGGAGTGGAAGGGGAGCTATGCTTTAGCAGCAAAACTGAAAGTCTTTTAAAAACTGACAAGCTTCATCTTCCACAAGCTCTCCCAAACTGTAACCCATTTCATTGCATGTTTGGACTGCAGTCTACAAAGGTTTGTACCAAATACTGTAAATCTTGGAAGTCTCTAACGGGGTGAGTAAAGATCAACATTTTTTAAAAATCAAATTGATTTAAATCGCAGTTCAATTTAAAGCAATTTGATTTAAATTAAATCCACCCTGGATCTCTAATGTGCCTTTACATCCAATAGCACAAGATGTACAGTAATTGTGGTAATAAACAGTGAGATGGACCAATTAATGGTCTACCTCAGTATTAGGCAGCATTTTTTGTTCACATATTCATGGTGTTTAAAACAATTATTTTTTCTACAAGTAACCAGGATTCCTACAGTCAAGTGAAGGGACTGCAGTGTGTTATTTTTCACTACCTATAGCCCAAATGACAGCTACTTGTTTCAGCAAAAGTGCCTTACCAGAAGCTTTTAGAGAGAGGTTAAGAAGCATTGATAAAATGAAAAAGCCTAACATTAATCAAATGTGTTATTGACACAATGCCATTCCATGCAATGCATTTCTAATGTTTGGTGTGTTTACATCTATTTACACCTACACTGTACGACCATTTTATACATACAAGAACTGAGGGTGCACTCCTGTGCACACATAAACAGGAAAAAACTCAGATGAAGTGGCACAATTCAACAAAGGACCTGAACATTCTACAATCTAAGCATATTTACTGCAGAGTAATAACATGGTAGAACTTGCTTTCAAGAGATATTTGGGATACAGTTATTAAAGTTCTTCAGCTGTTGTCAGCAAAGTCCCACTTTCAGGAACAGAGGGAAAATGTTTTTTTAAAAAACTTCCAAAGGCTGTTCAAAATGAGCAAAAACAAAGATAAACTTTCAGTTTTTACTGACTCTAGATCAGAATTTGCACAGATGTGGAATTATATTATAAAGAGAATATAAACTCTCAGTTTTTTGCAAATGGATTGTCAAAGAATAGGTGTTGCCCAGAAAAAGCCTAAAGGGCAAAATAAAACTGGTGATTAAAGCTATGCTTAATTACAAGAGACTGCATTTGAAAAAAAAAGGAACCATGGTGAAATGAGAGACAGTACAAATCTATGCCTGTTTATTTTGATGCCCCCCTATATTCAAAGAGACTCCCATGTCAACAAATCTTCAGATTTGCTGCTGAAATCAGTGAATGAAGACAGAATGCAACATTCCAATGACATCACAATATTTTGTCACTATAGATAAGTCAGCCACAAATTACTAATCTCAGATTCTTCATTCAAAGAGATTATGGTGGCCTAGAGATTCCCTAGAGTAGATTAGCTACTACTTAACAGTTGTTTACAGGGCATTAAAAGTCTGAAGAAGTGGGTGTATCCACCAAAGCTTACATTGAAATATATCAGTTAGTCTTTAATATGCCACTACGTTTTTGTTTTTCTCACTTTTCACTGGGTATTTAAATGGTGACTTTTCCCTACCACCATTTTTTTTAATGAGAGCACAAATATTAGCAGAGAGCGCCAGCAAATCGCAACTGCCCGTTACTTCAAACCAAGTAGCCCAAAGTGAAAATACTGCATTGCACTAAAGAGGTGGTATAGAAGTCCAATAAATAAATAAATAAATAGGCATACAAATGGAAGATTAGCTTGCCATCTCCCCCCCCTCCCAAAATAGAGTACAGAGAGAAGAAGGGGGGGGAATCCTATTTGTCCTCAACGCAACCGAGTTGGCCAAGACGGGAATGTAAAAGGGAACTAAATCACATCAAGGGTACATCTTGTGAATGTACCAGATGAGGCTTGGTGGCAAGGCAAGGAAGGAAGGAAGGAGGCACTGCCAAGTCACCACAGCTGGGGAGCCTCTCTCTTGCCTCCATTGACTGGATCACCTTGCATTTTGGAGGGAGATGGCGACGGAAGGGCACACGGGGGGGGCAGAAGAGAGCCTCCGACAAGCATCCTTGGAGGCAGAAGAGCCTCCCAGTCTCGGGGGCAGAAGGGGACCCCGCGAGGAACTCACACACACACACAAACACTCTCACACACACCTCTCTCACAGGTCCAATGGGAGGACTCTTCCCCGATCGCAACTCGGCCCCGACGCCTGAGGGATGAGCGGCCGAAAGGCAGAGAAAACAAAGGGGGGGGGAGAGAAAGAGAAAAAGAGAAAGAGAGGCAAAGCGAGGAGAAGGATTACCTGGCCGTCCTCAGCCGGAAGAGCCCCGCCGCCTAAACACACCGGAGAGGGCACTGACAGCTCCCAGCAGGCAGCGCGGCTTCCTCCTTCGCCTGGCGCCACAGCGCCTCCTGCCGGGCCTCAGGCGGAACGGCGCCTGCTCGCAACCCCCGGACGGAGGTTTTGTCTTCTTTTCCGGCTCGACCCGGTCCCGGTGCAGCGGCAGCCCGTGCAACCCTTATGCTCGCTTGCCAGGGAGTGAGCCGCAATACACGTGGGGCAGACGCCTCTCCACACTTGCATGGGACTTTTCCGAGTCGGCTCCTAGGAATCGCCGACTTCGGTTTGGGCGTGTGTATGTGCGCGTTCCCACGTCCTGTGCGAGTGAACTCGCGGCCAGAACTGGCGAGACCCTTTTCTTTGAGTCCAACTTTAGTGTTCTAGTCATTCACATGTTTCACAGTCAGAGAGGATCCATGGAAGGGAGAATCGCTCTACACGTTGTTTCCCCTCTCCTTAATTTCCGGTGATCCAAAGGCAACCCGTGCTCTCCCCCTGAGCCTTTGAGCCCCTGCGTCGCATCCTATCTATGCCTGAGATAAGGACCAGGGTGATCGGTGGGGCCAGGCCCGTCGCCAAATTAGCTGTACTGTATTGTTAAGTCGAGCCCTGCGTACTCCGAAGGGGGGCGGGCGGGGAAAGTGAAGCCTTTTTTTAAAAATCGTGTATGTGTATATATCTATGAGGAGCTGCAGATCTGCTGAAATGCACGGGGCTGGGGGTCGTTTCTGCAAAAGTCATCCCAGGGCCTGAGTTGAAGAACGTGCCCAGGACTCGCTTGGAACAAAGCCCCCTTCCAGAAGACTAAAGGCGTGTTTGGAAGGGGCGGCGCGAGAGGAGCCGGACCAGGAGCATCCCCTCGATGCGAATTAAGTCTCCGCACTTCAGTCGCCACTGAAGAAGGCTAGAAGGAGGTTCGGTTTGGGGGGGAAAAATTCTTCAGTGCGCTTTAATTCGAACCCGAGACGGCTTGCTTCGGGGGGGAAAAAAACAGAAGCCGATGTTGGGAGCGAGCAAATACCAGCTGCAAGATTTGCACTCGAGGAGGTAATAATACAGGACTGCCTCTCTCGTAAAAAGCCCCGCGCCGCCCCCCCCCGGGGGGAGTTTCCAAGTCGACTGAAAAAGGCGGCAGGCAGGGCTGGCTGGGCGGCGGACAGAGAGAGAGAGCGAGTGAGGGCGCTGTGTGAGTGCCGGGCACCTCCCGAGGAGCTGCAACGCTTCCTGGGCTGAGCCGGCGTTCCCCTTCCCCACGTGCGGTGCCTCGTTCCCCCGGACACGTCTGAATCGCTTCGCGGGAAGCCGGGCTTGGGTCCCGGGGGCGCCGCTTGGATGGCCGCCGCCGCCGCCCTGTTCCTGGAGATCAGGCAGAGGAGTCAGAGCGGGCTGCTGATTATCCGGTACTAATTTGCTGTTTCAACTCTTTCCGACCCTTAGGAACCCCACGCCCGGAACAGGGAGAAGGCAGATCTAGATCTACTTGGTCAGTTTTTGCGAGATCTGCCGTAAATTGGCCGAGCTTCACTTGCCAGTAAAAAAAATCACACACACTCTCCGTCCCCACCCGAGATTATATTGGTGAAACGAGGAAAGCTGATGGGGGGGGGGTTTGTTCCGCGGAGGGGCTGTAAACTTTATTCATTAGGGGTACTGAAATTGATGGGTTCAGGATTCTTTAAAGCAGCAATGGAGAAATTGTTTCCCTCCCTTTATTTTTGATGGACTGCAACTCCCATCAGCCAGCAGAGCCAATGGTGAGGGATTATGGGAGTTGCAGTCCAACAATACCTAGAAAGCATTATGCATCCATGTTCTGTATACTTCTTTATGCGAAGTAGACGGTGCAAGGTTGAAGTCAGGCCACCGTAAAATATTTATGTATTCTATTTGGATACTTTTTTGCTCATGGAGGAAACTCAGCTTCATGAAATCTCATTTCAGATAGAAGCTGCCGTTCAAGCCTCTCTCCAGATTGTGCTCTCTGATTTGGAAGATCTGCTTAATTCCCAGATGTGTGGGATCTGATTATCCCAGGAAAACACTCCACTTGTATATTTCCTTTGCCATTACTGAATACAGCAAGCCCTACTGCTGTATCCCGGTGCTGAAAATAAGTTTGTGGACACACCATTGTGAATCTTCGCTCTGCTTATGGCATATTTATCTCTGGGTCAGTATTTCTCAACTTTGCTTAACCCAGGTGTTCTTGGACTGCAGTTCCCAGAATGCTTCACCTCTAGCTGGGGTTTCTGGGAGTTGCAGTCCAAGAATACCTGGGCTTCCCAAGATTGGGAACCACTACCTTAGGGGGATGGATGCAAGTTGGCCATTCTGTATGTATTCAAATCAAGAGTAAATCTCATTGAAATTAGCAAACTGTGAATCTGGCTTAGACTCTTGTAGGATTGCACTGGTGAACTGCAATCCTAAACAGCAAAGTGAGCCCCGCCCTTTCTTTTCAGGGCCTTGGCATCTCTGATCCAGAAGTGACTCATGAAGTGGGGAAGGAAACTTGCCCCAAAATTTCTGGAGAGTGTTTTCCTAGTTAATCAAGAGAGGCCTATAAAGTGGTTCCAATCTGTAGAGGAGACCTCACAACACTCATAGGAAGGGCTGAGGTTGGTATGGGCAGGATCACCACTTCTATTTCTGGCAGCATCTGCCGCCCCCTTCCACGCCGTGCGCTGCTGGAGGCAGGACAGATTGCTCTTACTAGGTGTCTATAAAGTGATGGTTCTTTTGAGTGAGGCTGAGGCCTGCAGGAGACCCATGCTTGCTATATGGCATGTACTTAGCTTGGAGTGAGACTTACTCCTGAATAGTCATTCATAGAATTGCCTTACTTCTCTTCAGTGGGAATTCCAAACAGATCGTGTTGAACTGCGGCCCACTAGGGAGCAATACCATTTTTGACTTGAAATGTTGAGTGAAAGTCTTGTGCCACTCAGCCAAGATCTCTAGCTTTTTCTTGGTTACTTTATTCCACTGCTGTCTGGTGAGATAGCAGCCACACGAACCCCTAAAGAGAGTGTAGGGAAGGCTACAGCAATGTGCAAGGAGAGGGAGAGTTTGATTATGCAAACTTGGCTTTTTATTGGTGGTTGTGGGTTTTTCGGGCTCTTTGGCCATGTTCTGAAGGTTGTTCTTCCTGACGTTTCGCCAGTCTCTGTGGCCGGCATCTTCAGAGGACAGGAGTAGGAACTCCCACAACAACCATCAGATCCTGGCCGTGAAAGCCTTCGAGAATACATACATTGGCTTTTTATTCTTTGCTTTTCATTGTTTTACTGTACTTTGGTTTATAAGCTGCCTTCTAAGTTTTTATGAATGGAAGTACAAAAGTGCCTTGAGTTTGAAAACAAACAAAAAATTGTGTGGAATGTGATGGGTATCTTTGGAATATATTTATATTTTAGAGAATTAAAGCCAGAAAGGTGGCCGGTGGATATTACAGTGATGCCATCTTCGATCGAATTAAAAATGGATGAAGACTGCAAGGTATTCAACCTTCCACGAGAGGTCAGGGTTGTTCCTCCTTCCTGCCGAGGACTGCAGTACGTGCCTGGTGACGGCTTACATATGAGACTACTGGTTCAAGCAGGTTTAAATACAAGTAAGAGTGACTGCCTGTTTTCGTTAACAATGTGCTTTGTGTCAAGGGTGCAGGTCATACTGTGAAGGGTTAAGTACATTTTGCAAGAAAGCTGCCATTCAACTGAAAAATATGGGATTGGGGAAGGTTTAAGTTTCTGCTGTGAAATTTGTATAACCAGACTTCAGAGTTTGGGTTGGTTGCTTCTTTCTTTGTCTCTAATGTGCCACTAACTCCAACTTGGATTTGAGCGGATTTATTCTCTGTGCTGAGCTTAGTGACCACGAAAGTTACGAACAGTCTTGCTCCACATCTGCAAAATGAATGCATGTCAAAATGTATTGGGATATTTAAACTGGATGTTCCTGTCTGTTTGTCTAGCTTTTAAAGATTTTTGCTATAACTTTGCACTTTTGTTCTGTGGCTTTGATGTAGCTTTTCTAAACTTGTGCTGCCTGGTTTCTCCATTCCAGGTCTCCCCATCTTTGCCTTCACATTTTGCCTATAGCCAATAAATAATTGTTTATTGGTTTAACTGTTTTTAAATTTGTAATGCCACCCAGAGTAGACCTTTGGTCTAGACGAGTGGGGTATAAATTCAATCAGTCAATCAATCAAACAAACAAACAAACATTTTAATTTGTTCTGCGCCATCCTGGCTACAATCAATGCCTGTGGTGACACTTATTTTGACTGTGGAATTTAGGCTGCAGTCCTATTTATATTTGCATGGGAGTAAATCCCAGCAAGCTCAGTGGGATTTATGAGAACAGATGCAGAGGATTGCACTGTAAATCCCACACGAAGTGGGTGATGCAGAGATTTCGCCCAATGTTTCCTGCCAGTAGACAAATTATGGTTTGTTTCTTATTGTCAAGGCAAATAATTTTAGTGGCAATAAAACTTTGCTATTCCTTGATTTGAATTGTGCTAGTTTCTTGAAATCCCTAGGATTTTTATATGATACTGTATTAGTCATATATTAAAATAAGGATGGGAAGAGCCTAGTGGCTGTTTTTGGACTGCAGCTCTCATGATCTTTCCCTGTTGGCTACACTGGCTAATGCTGAAGGGAGTTGTAGTGCAATGATATCTAGAGGGCTATATGTTCACTATCCCTGTACTACAGAATACATTCTTCCAAGGATATATGTCTTCACAAAGCCTGAAAAAGAATGGCTCTATAGGGATATTTACTAAGGATGGGATGGCTGTTTTTGGACTGCAGCTCTCATGATCTTTCCCTGTTGGCTACACTGGCTAATGCTGAAGGGAGTTGTAGTGCAATGATATCTAGAGGGCTATATGTTCACTATCCCTGTACTACAGAATACATTCTTCCAAGGATATATGTCTTCACAAAGCCTGAAAAAGAATGGCTCTATAGGGATATTTACTAAGGATGGGATTTTTGGATTTTCTGTACTACAGATGCCATCGTTCTCTATTCTGGGACTTCTAGCTACATTACAAACATATAAATGCAATGCACCTGGGAGAGAGGCTCACCTTTGAGGGCTTTGAAGCTTAGCTAGGCTTGGCTCAGCCCAGGCTTCCTGCTCAGAAAGGATGCTCCCAGCTAGCACTGGGAAATCTTAGGTGGAGCAAGGCCTAGTTAAGTTTCAGAGTTTTCCAGTTTAGACCTTCTTCCCAAGGTGCATCATCACATACAGTGGTGCCTCGCAAGACGATTTTAATTTGTTCTGCGAAAATCGATGTCTTGCGAAAACATCATCTTGCGAAACGCGGTTCCCCATAGGAATGCATTGAAATCTAATTAATGTGTTGCAGTGGGGGGGGAACCATCTTGCGAAGCATCGATCTAAAAAAAAAATCTTGTGAACCATAGACCAAAACATCGTCTTGCGAAAATTATCCGTAGAAAACATCGTCTTGCGAAGCGCCACAGCGATCACAAAAACCCATCGTCTTGCGGATTAATCATCCCGCGAGGCAATCATCTTGCGAGGCACCACTGTACATGTATCTGTAAGGTGGGTAGAACGCCCAGAATGAAGAATTATGTTATTTATAGTCCAAAAAATCCAAAAATCCCCATACCTCACATTTACATAAGCTGCAGTCCAAAAAGTAACTTTTCTAAGCTCTGATGTAACTGCTAAATCGTAAGAACAGTCTTACTGGATAATAATAGTCCAATAATCTATCTAGGCTGTTTTCCTGTCTTCCTCTGGGGGCCAACCTGACGCCTGCAGGCAGAAGAGAACTAGCCCTGCCCTACTGTTAACCCTCCACAACTGGCACTCAAGAGAGCTGCTGCCATAAAGACCGGAGTCACTACATAGCCACCACGGCTAGTTGTCCTTAACAACATCATCCTCTAGAAACAAGATCACATCTCCTCTATGAACTTGCTAGCTGGCCATTATTTTATCTGCTGAAGATTATTGTATCTATAATATGGAGATAGTAATATATTTGTAATAATACAACAGGATTGTTGAATTGTTAAAAATATAATGTGTGGCACTTTGATGAGTCTGTGGTTTTTTTATGTTGATACTGTGCTGTGCAGAGAAACGTCTGATATGAATGTGATCTTATTGGCTTTTTAACGTTTAAAGAAAATGTGTGTTCTGGAACTAAAACTCTTGGTCATGCTACCTGAAACACATCCACACACCTCTGTGTTGAAGTAATGTGAACTGTGTTCTTTGATATTGTTTCAGAAGTGTTGCCAGCTGTTGGTGAGAGCCTCAAACCCAAAAAGAGTTGCACTTTTTACTGTCAGTCCTGCGGACAGAGTATCATAAGCAATCAGTAAGTGCTGTGCTCCTTTGTGGCTTTCTTGTGGACAAATGCATTTGAATAGTGACCATGCTAGAAGGAATGGGAAGCTTCTTGGGTGAAACATTTGCTGGTGATAATAAGGCCAGGAGGCAAGGCTTGGTGGCCGAGGTGGCCATAACAATCTTTGGAAAAGAGAGGGTTTTCATTAGTGCATTAGAGCTCTAGTAACCTGTTGTACAGTAGTAGGACTCCTCTATCTGTGGGACCGATGTCCGCCTATTCACTTATCTACTGGCTGAAAATACTAAATAACCCCCCCGAAGCACCTACAGTGGTGCCCCGCATAGCGACGATAATCCGTTCCGGATAAATCGTCGCTATCCGGAAACGTTGCTATACGGGGCAAAAAATCCCATAGGAACGCATTAAACTCTGTTTAATGTGTTCCTGTGGGGGATAAACTCACCACTAAGCGGGAATCCTCCATAGGACTGCCATTTTCGCCGCCTCAGTAAGCGAGGAATCAGCGCGAAAATGCTGCGGGTGGTCATTTTCTTGATCCGGCGGCCATTTTGGAACAGCTGATCAGCTGTTCTGAAACATCGCAATGCGAAGATCGGTAAGCGAAACGCTTACTGATCATCACAATGCGATGTTTACCCTATTTAAACATCGCAATGCGATCGCAAAAGCGATCGCAAAAAACGCATCGCTATGCGGATTCGTCGTTAAACGGTGCGCTCGTTAAGCGAGGCACCACTGTATTTATATGTATTTCCAGGGTGTTGTTTCCAGAAGTGACCACTAGAGGAGGCCAGAGACCTTACAATGTATAGCATTCCATATTTACACATATTTCAGCATCCGCGAGTGGCGCTGGGAACCAATCTGCAGTCGGACACCGCAGTCCTACAGTAGCGTTACTCTGTGCCCACTATAAATGATACGTTCCTTCACTCTTGGAACAACTTGGTTTTTATTTTCTTCTGCCTCTGAAAGCCTTCAAGCTGAAGAGGCAGATGCTAAGATTTCTCAGTATGTAAACAATAGCATCAAGCCAAGGGAACTGTTAATTTAAACTGGAAAGCTGGCTTACCGTCTTCTGAGTTTTAATTGGTGCTAATCAAACTATGTTGTACCCATGATTTATTAACCATATTGATATACTGCCCCATAACCAGAATTTTTGGGCAGTTATTTTGGATTTTTACTAATTAGCTGGGGCAGCAGTCTATACGTTTCTAGTGTTTTATTTATTAAATGTTTCTGTGAGACTTTCAGTTTCTTAGCGGTCAGAGAGGAATTCTTCCCTCTCCCCAGTATTTCTTGGGGGTGGGCCAACCAACGTTTCCTCTAATTTAAAGACATGGGCCAGAATCCATTTTGAGAAATTGCACAGGGGTAATGCTCTCGGCATAAATTTCCCTTGCAAATTGCCACACGTGAAGAAGTTTGTGTTGGCAGTGGCTGTTGCCTGCAGAGTCACACCTGCAGTGACTTCTTAATTGTGCAACAATTCACAGTTAAGATTTACGCCCATGGGGTTACCACTGGCAGGCATAACGAATAGGGTTTTGGCTACTGAGTGTTTGTGGTGCTATTGCAGCCAACTGCAGACTGCCTGGTTTGACTGCTGCAAGAGATTGCAAAAATGGGGAGACGGTTTTTGGAGTGCCGGGGATGCACGCAACACGGACACTCGCAGGTTGTGCAAATTTGGTGCACAGGAAAAATGTTTTGCATGCTCTTGCTGTACAGTAGCTTTTGTGGAACAGAACAGAGTGGCATTTAAATTAATTTTCCTCACCTCACTTTTCCGGCACTGACCCTTCCCCATTAATCCCAAATATCACTGCACACTTGTGCTACGGGCAGGTTGAAAAATGAAACATGAGAAGGTGTCATCTGTTTAAACTTCGGTTTACTGCATTACATTTTGTGCAGCGGAGTATTAATTTTCTGAGCAAATGCAGAAGCCTTGGCATTATGGGCTGGGAAAACATACTGCTCCAAATTCTGACACAGCCACTTGACTGAGCTTTTTTCTTTTTTCCCCCTTTTTTAAAAATAAGACAAACTGATTTGTAGGGGCTGCATTTCCCAGAATTGTAGATCTGTACAACTTAGTATTGAGGTTATTTAAACAAAAGACATTGAAATTAATCACAATCATCTTAGAACTCTAGAGCTGGAAGAGGCCCTATGAATCATCAAATCCAGCGCCTGTCAAGGAGGCCCAGTGGGGAACTGAACACCCAGACTCTGCAGCCAGAGACCTAAACTGCTGAGCGATCCAGCAGTTCTCTCATGTTTTGCTAGCGTGTTTTTCTGCTTTTGAGAAGTTTTGAAAGAAATAGTTGTGTTAGCTTGTTTGAACACGTATAACAAATAAAACACCGGAAGTATTGTGGCACCTTATAGACTGATTTATATCACTGTGAGCTTTTATGGAATAACAGACTCTGCAGCCAGAGACTTAAACTGCTGAGCGATCCAGCAGTTCTCTCATGTTTTGCTAGCGTGTTTTTCTGCTTTTGAGAAGTTTTGAAAGAAATAGTTGTGTTAGCTTGTTTGAACACGTATAACAAATAAAACACCGGAAGTATTGTGGCACCTTATAGACTGATTTATATCACTGTGAGCTTTTATGGAATATAATCTGCTTTCGCTGAGTTCCCTTTCTTTGTTACAGAAACTGGTTTGTGGTTGCTGCTTCCCCACCCCCCCATCCCCAAAAGCATTGGTTTTTGCAACCAGGCACTGAGATGATTTAAACATCTACAACTTCATGAAAGCTCATGCTGAAACAAATTTATTAATCTTTAAAGAACCACAATACCTCTATGTTTAATGTTTGTTATCAATGCAGTAAATCTGTGGTTCCCAACCTTGCGAAATCCAGATGTTCTTGGACTGCAACTCCCAGAAATCCCGGCCAGCACAAGGGAATCACTGACCTCGGGGATGCAAGTTAATCCAGTTGAATCCTTCCTTGACCTCTGCCATGGAGAAAGGCCCAAAGCCATTAACACAATTGTTCCTAAGTATCCACTCTCATTGACTGTGGCTTGATGATCCCATGGGTTTACCAGAGAGCTGCTGGTGATGAAACAAGTAGAATGGAAAATTTGGACCTAATGTGAGCTACGGCCCACTGAAAGGCCTATTCTGTGGCCGTGGTGGCAGTGAAGAAAGCTTTGTCCACTGTCACCGTTGCATCGGCACATAGGCATACAGAGGAGCTGTTTCAAGTGGTCAAGGGCTTATTTTATTTTGGCCCTTAAGCAGAAAATGTGGACTACTGAACAGCCCAATGTGAAAAAAAATTGTGCATTACTTTGCAGACAAAATTCCTCGGCTCTGCTCTGTCTTAGACGCTGCAGTTGATGTAGATCCTGTGAAGGTAACTTTTGATACCTGCTTGACCTGTGTTAATGGACTTGTTCCAATTTGTGCACTGGGAGGTGCACAAATGTGTGTTGGACCCTTGCCCTTCTTGGCTTGTAAAAGGAGCCAAGGGAGGACTGGCTAAGCAAGTGAGGGGAGTGGTGAATGCCTCTCTGGCTCAGGGCATAATTTCATCCTACCTAAAAGAGGTGGTTATCAGACTTCTTTTGACAAACAAAAAGCCCCTCTCTGGCCCTCACTGTATTAGTCAACTATTGGCTAGTCTCCAGTTTTTTTTTTCACTTTTGGGCAAGGTGATGGAACATGTGGTGGCCTCGAGCACAGGCTAGGCTTCAGGCCTAGTTCCTGGATGGAGGCAGATTTGGTTGCTTCGGTGAACGGCCTAATGCTGGGAACTGGACCGGAGGAGTGTTCTTCTCTTGGTTCTCCAGGACCTCTTGCTAGCTTTCAGTGCCATGGATAATGGTATATTTCCAGGTCACCTCACTGTTGATGGGACTTGAAGGCACTGTCTTGCAGTGGTTCTGGCCCTCCTTGGATGGGCAGACTCAAAAGATGGTGCTGGAGGACTCCTGTCTGAACCCCCCCCTCCCGGCCTTTGGCAGCCCTCCAGGTTCTGTTCTGGAACCCATGCTAGCCAACATCTACATGGAAGCTCTAGGGTTCCATGTCATCCGTGTGCTCCAAGCACCCAACTATATCTCTCCTTTCCATCTAATTCCAAGCGAGGTGTCTTGGCTGTAAACCAGGGCTTGATATTATAATGGGTGAAAAAAAGTGGGAGAGGCTTCATGTCACTGCACATTCTTCCTGCATCCAGTAAAGCTGATTTTGTAGGTTTTTATAGTACCAAATAATGACTCTTTAAAAAAATATCAGAATGCATGCCTGGTAGTTTAGCTGGCATTGCTAGAATAGATAATAAGACCCGGAAGGGGCCTTGTTGGAAACTGTGTTCACCCATTTGCTCAGTGCAGAACTCTTGCGTTGGCCTTTCAGACTTCATATAAAGGACCTCCAGAGCCCACCACCTCCCGAGGCAGTCTCTTCCACTGCAAAATACCTCTTCCTCATATAAATGTTACTCTAGTTTATATCCCTTATCTCTAATTCTAATCTCTTCAACAGCAGAGAACAACTCTGGTTTGTCTTTGTGGTTGGCTGGAGGTAACCATTGGCTAGTGGCTGTGATGTTCCCAGGGAAGAGCAGTTTCTTCTGTCTTCCGCCTTCTCCTCAATTTCCTTTACTGAATTTAATTCATTAATTTAAAATATTTTATATTGCCTTCCATGGGAAAAGAATCTTTTAATGTCTCTTCATTTTAATGTAGCGAATAATGCAGGCATTTACATTAACTTGGTTAAATATGTTAGGCAGCACTTTCAGGAGAAAACAAAACACGAGTCCCAGTACTCCACAGCAATGCCTTGCTATTTCAAGAACACACTTCTAACTTCTAAAACCATGAACTTTATTTAGAGCTGTCTGCTGTTGTTTCCCTCAGTGCCTTAAGTAAGACAGGGGTTGAGAACCTTTGTTCCCCCAGCTATTTTAGACTCCAGACGCACGATTCCCATGGTTATTCAACATTGGCTGTGCTAGGTGGGATCAATAGGAGCTGAAGGCCACAATATTTGGTCAGAGATTCCTTATCTCTGGCATAAGGGTTGACTTCTTAGACATTTCTCATTCAAACTAAGTTCGCTAAGCCAGAGGTTGATCTTTCTATTCCTCTGTGCCTAGGAGATTTGGGAACAGCTGGAGAAACAGATTTCCCTTCTGGAACTGGACTCTGTTTCCTCCCTGTGCATAACATTTATACAGTTCTCAGCGCCACTACTGGGTCAGGGCCAATGCAATAAAAAGGGGAAAATTAGCTCCCACTTTGTCAAAAAGACTGTTAAAACAATCAACTCTTTCTCTTAGGACATTCCTGAGAGTTCTTTCCCTTCCAAGTGAGGACTGGAATGATCTGGTGGATGAGTGGTGCTGTCATCCCAGCCCCTTCAATGATAGCATACTTCACCCACAAAATGGCGACTGTTTTCTGGGACCGAACTACCTCTTGGTTGATTCAGGAAGCATATCAGCTGGCTCAGGATTGGAAATCCTTGATACAGATTCTCAGGATGCTGCTTCTAACAGTAGCAGTTCTATCTCGGTGAGTACACTGACAACAAGCAATGAATGAACCTATCCATGTACATCTGTACTTGCCTAAGCATTCAGAAGCCTTTACCTTAACATGCCAGTCGGAAGTAGCTCCTAGCACATTTGGAGGGCCCCTACCCAAATTTTTCTTATTATAATTTTTTCTCCACTAGAGGGCACAAGAAGGGTTTTTCATTTAAAAAAAATCTTAAGTACATTATTGTAAGAAAAAAAACACTGCAATTCACAGGAGCAGATGTGGCCCTTCCAGATGAGCCTGTATGCCCTTTCCAACTAGCTTAATTTAGTCCAGCTTTCATTAGCCTGGTGCCATTCCAGACGCGTTGAAAAGAAGCTTGCATTATTTGTTACGTGTTTTATTAGTTGCTGACTGAATAGCTCGGTGAGTTGTATATCTGACTACAAAGCTAGAGGTTTGGGGTTCGATTCTCCACCGTGCCTCGTGGGAGAAGTTCCAAAGCACCTCAGTGAGTTGTGTATCTGACTACAGAGCTAGAGGTTTGGAGTTCGATTCTCCACCATGCCTCGTGGGAGAAGTTCCAAAGCACCTCAGAAAAAGTGGCTGGTAAACCAATTCTGAATACTGTATACCTAAGAAAACCTTAGTTATATAAAGTGTGTTGCTTATATCCCACCCCATAATGCTTCAAGCACTCTGGGTGGTTTACAAGTTAATTATGCAGGCTACACATTGCCCCCCCCCCACGCAAGCTGGGGGCTTATTTTACCGACCTCGGAAGGATAGAAGGCTGAGTCAACCTTGAGCCGGCTACCTGAGCACAGTTTTGGCTGCAGGACAGCAATTTAACCACTGCACCACGAGGCTCTATATCAGTGATGGTGAACCTTGGCACGCGTGCCACAGCTTTCACGCAGAGCCCTTTCTGCCGGCATGCGAGCCATAGGTCACTGGATCATTATTCCCCCCCTCCTCCCTGCTGCCAAAACTGAGTAGGCGGCTGCAACCACAGTGCTGGTCCCTGGACAGGCAACAGGTCGGGATTCGGAGCAGCTGGTGCTGGCGGCGGATCCAGAGTGATGTCTTGAGGCCCCTCCGTGCCTGGGATTTCCCCTTCCTCCGTCACTTCCGGTTCTGCCACTGCCGTGGCACAAAAACATCTTCAGGGACACCATTTGCCTTTCCAAGAAACCTTGGCAGCATAAACTCATCAGCTGAGGTAATGAACGGCAGCTCCTTACCCATAATTTCTAGACTTTAAAAAAGCAGCTGTCTCCTTAAGGGCTATCCATTAGATTTAATGCACCAACATATTTTATTGGAGGAAATATGAGAAGACAGTTATGTAAGAGTCAGTGTGATTTAGTGGGTACATTTTGAATGAGGGCTCAGGAAAGCTAGCTTCACAACCTTGCTCAGCCTTGAAGTTTAGTGAGTGAGTTTTGGCTGAGCTTTATCTCAGCTTTTACCTCTGCCATGCCCCCTGTCTAACCCACTTCCCCATTGTAAAGATAAAACAGGAAAGGAGCAAACAGGAGATGTGCCTTAGCCTGAGCTTCTGGGAAGAAAAGCAGGCAAAGAATGCAATTAGTACTGAAAACCAGAAGGCCTTACTTAACTCGTTGCCTCAAAGTTATCCAGCTCTGTTGCATCTGCTGCAAACAAAATTGCTCCTTCTCTTGCTGTCTCGTTGGAACGGTAGGAAAGGTCAGGTCATGGCAGCTCACCTGTTCCTTAGGCATCATGTTCCTGACTGGAAAAAAGGCCAGGGTTTGGAAAGTTACTTTTTAACAGCAATTCTATTCCTTTAGTCCTTCTAGCATTTAATAAGCATTTCACTGCTGTTATGGCTACAGTATTTCAAAAGCAGCTGATTACCTGCCTATAACTCTTGAACATTTTCTGTGAAAAGGCTAGCTAAAATATATATTTAAAATTAACAATAAAAGGGAACCAGGAAATTATTGACATTGCCAGTAAAATAAGTATTTTCCTGTTCTTATGTTAATTTTGATACAGAGCTTTGACAGCCAAAAGAGTAATTCTTCACTGGTTATTATTTACAACTTGCTGGCTGAAATCCTGTTGCTCTGTTATGCATGGGGGAAGGTAAATGGAAGAACTTTCAGTGTCTTCCAGCTGGTGGTTAATAAGTTCCTGTTGGGATCCTTGACTGCATATGAAGCCAGTGGGCACTTGTGCCCTGATAGTTCCACCAGCGACTCATTAACCGCCAGCTAGAAGCTAGTGGATGTTATGCTGTTTGTCTTTCCCATGCACAACAAAAACAGCAGGATTTCAGCCATTATTTATGAGCGCTGGAAAAAAAATTCTGTCTTCTTTATTGTGTCGGAAACCCACCATTTATATCTCAGTTGTGAACTCACCTTGTGGCCTAGGCAATCTATTATTCTGTCAGACTTCTTTATTCCCTCATACATGGAACTTCGGAAGAGTCTTTACTGTATATTGGTCCACTTGACTCAATATTGTCTGCATGTCTGGCATCTGCTTTCCGAATTTGCACATCACGGCCTTTCAAATTACTACTTCCCTGAGCTCTTTAAGGTGCTGGGGACTCAGCCTTCTGGAATCTTCCGGAAAGGAAAAAAGTGCTCTATCATTGAAGAATCCTCACTTTTAAAAGGTGTTATAATATGAGATTAATAATGCTGACGTACAGGAGATCTTGAAATAATGTATCTGAAGTGCTTTCGTTATTTAAATGTGTGTTATATAAGGGTCATTTTATATCCTTTTTTGTGTAAAGGTTTCTGTGCTTTTGATCATTTTATGTTGCAATTACCAGAATTTTTTCTGTTCTCTTAGTCATGATAGTAGAATTCATGTAGAAGGCTTTAATGTTCCACATGAGAATACATCCCAACCCTATTTAAATAAAACGTTTTCTCCAAAGAAATCTTTATCGTTTGATTCTTGCCATGTATTTAACCACTGAATACTAGTTTTCTGTGTTGAGACCATCTGTGGCAGCCTAAAACTGGCTTACTCCCAAGAGAAATAATGTTTAAAGGTTGACTGGTGTAATGGTTTTTGTGGAAAGGTAGTAATCTCCCTTAATGTGGAAGGAGTAACACTTGGAAACAAAAATGAAGCCATTTGTTTTCGGATGCAGCATAAAACTAGGATAAAACCATCCAACAGATCTAACTCTAGACTGTGGCATAAGATTTTCAAAAAAAGCCCCTCATACTTTTCCTAAGGAGATGAAACATTTAAATGTTATTTCTTTTTTTCTTGTAGAATTCAAAGGGAAATAGCCGAGTAATCTGTAAGCGCTGCAAGACATTGTTGGGAGAGGTTATGCCATCAGGTATGGTTTTTACGAACCAAATCTTTGTAGTTCGTTTTGTAGTCTGTTTTAGTCATCTGTGGCTAGAGCTGTGTGGGTGTGGGTGGGTGTTTTAAAACACTAGTTGAAATAAACGAAAGGATTAAACCTCGTTCAATGATTCTAAACTCATTACCAAGCGTGAGACTCTTAATTGAATCTGGACACTTCCCCACAGTTTATAGCTTGTGTCAATAATGCTATTGCCATCTTGTAGACTCATTTATGGTATCTACCCTGTATATAATCTACTAATGAGGTAATTTACAGTTTGATAACCTCAGTCCTGTACTAATGAGCCCTTATCATTTTATCTGTTTCCTGCATCTTCACCTGGTCATGGGGCTACATATATGTATACCAGTCATATATTTTCACTCCAATGTCTGAGGAAGAGGACTTGATCCATGAAATAAAACAGGAAAAGGCCACATGGTCGTGGAGAGAATACAAATACAGAAATCGGTGATACCTTTTATAGACCATAAAAGGTATGGCGCTGCGGGCTAAACTGCAGAAGCCTCTGCGGCAGGGTCAGAAGACCAGCAGTCGTAAGATCGAATCCACGCGACGGCGTGAGCTCCCATCACTTGTCCCAGCTCCTGCCAACCTAGCAGTTCGAGAGCATGCAAATGCAAGGGACCACCTCGGTGGGAAGGTAACAGCGTTCCATGTCTAAGTTGCACTGGCCATGTGACCACGGAAGATTGTCTTCGGACAAAACGCTGGCTCTATGGCTTGGAAATGGGGATGACCACCGCCCCCTAGAGTTGAACACGACTGGACAAAAATTGTCAAGGGGAACCTTTACCTTTACCTTTATAGACCATTAAGAATATATATATATATAACAGCATATAAGTTGGAACTACCCATCACGTTCTTGTGGGTAGTTCCAATTTATATGCTGTTATGAATGTCCCAAATTTACATGGCTGATGAAGCTGAAGCCAGGCTCGCTTCTTAGATGGAAATAGTGCAGTATACAAGTTGTTTTCAGCTAGCAGTTTGGAATTTATGGTACATCTCTTAAAACAGAGGACAGAATGACAGTCTGCCCCTCCCCTCCCCCCCCCAATTCCCATTCTCTGCCTTTTTGAAAATCAAAGAATTTCTTTTTGGTGAGGGGAGTTAAGAATGCCCAGGAGCATGACCTGCCTCTAACAGAGTTGGGATTGAGAATTTAGTTAAACCACAAGGAACAGTCTGTGTAAGCCAAATTAAAGCCAGATGAATAGTTTTACCTGGTGGACGCTTTCTTTAGCCTGCAGTCCTGCCTGTTGGGTGTCAGGAGTCCTGATGTTCCAGAACTCATGTTGGTCTTCAGTTGATGCCCCAATTGGCCATTCTGTGATATCCTATAGTTCAGGAAAAATAAGGACAAGTCTGCATGATTGTGGAAACAAGAGAAATACAGGAATAGGTGATACCTTTAATCAACCATTAAGAACATAAAACATAAAAAAAAACCAACTATAACAATCTTTTAACTATTTCTTGATGTGTGTGTTTTCTAGATCTACGGAGGCATTTAACTCTGGACCACTTTGAATTCTCCCTCTGTCAACAAATTCAGAGAATTTCAGTTAGTCAACTGCTAACTTTAAATATGCTTTATCAGGAATCCCTGAGTCCTGTCCAGCCTTAGCCATTTTTTTTCCAAGCCAGCAAAAACTAAAGCTTGAAAATGTTACTTTTTTTGAATGCAGCTCTTCTTTTCCAAAGAAATCCGCTACGGGTTTTTGTTCTTCTTCTTTTTCTCTTCATGTAACAGCTCCTCTCCACAATCATTTTACTGTGTAGGTTTTGTTTCTTATTTTAATCCTCCTCCAGTGGACAACAGGAGGGAGTTTGTCTCACCCCCACCATGAGAGAGATGCCAGCTGCTGCTGGTGGCCTGGAGAGTGGTCATCTCTGTTGTCTGCACTATTTTTTTTAAATCTAACTGCAGTTGGATTTAAGCAGCACAGAAACATCACTGGTGTGGATTGATAGGGAAGTGGGCAAAAGAGATAGCTTTGCACATAGAGTGGGAGAAATGGAGACTGCGTGAGACTGGATGATGATGGTGTGGCACCTCCCCATGTCCTTTAGCCCCATTAGTTAGAAATGCAGTCCTAAGAAAGGGAAGCAAAGGAATGAGTCAGAGAAGAAGCCCCTGCAGATGGCAGTTCCGTACCAGAGAACCTACACAGACCCTCTTCCCAAAATCTATTCCGGTTTCTTCCGGTTGCCTAGCTTAGCCAACTGCTGTAATGCAACACCCCTGTCTCAGAATTTTTACTCTTTTTGTCCCTTGGCCAGCTGGGCAGTGAGTTTCTCGAAAGCTAGTTTTGATCCTTCGACAGCAGTTCTGGTTTTACTCTGTTTTAATTCTGTTGAAGGTGTTCTTGAAAACTGAGTTAGAAAGCTGGTCTACAGTGGTGCCTCACTTAACAACGTTAATTTGTTCCAACGAAATCGCTGTAGAGCGAAAATGTCATAAAGCGAAATTAAAAAGCCCATTGAAATGCAGTGAAAACCCCTCAATGTATTCCAATGGGCTGAAAACTCACCGTCCAGTGAAGATCCTCCATAGGGGCGGCCATTTTCGCTGCCTGTAAAGCGAGGAATCCGTCCAAAAACACAGCGGGGAGCCATTTTAAGCAGCCGGCGGCCATTTTGAAACCCGACGATCAGCTGTTTTTGATCGTTGTAAAGCGAAAATTGGTTCCCGAAGCAGGGAACCGATCATCATTAAATGAAAAAAAAACATTTAAAACATTGTTTTGCAGTCGCAAAAGCCATTGCAAACACCTAATCGCCAAGCGATTTTGTTGTAGAGTGGGGCAATCGTTAAGCGAGGCATCACCGTATTAAGTATTTAGAACCAATAATTTGGAATGCTCTGGGAGGAAAAAAGATCAGTCCATAGGGCTGCCTTATTTTCTGCTGGCCCTGTTTATGTGCCACATGGGATGTGGTGGCGCTGCAGGCTAAACCGCAGAACCCTTTGTGGGCTGCAGGGTCAGAAGACCAGCAGTCGTAAGATCGAATCCATGTGATGGAGTGAGCTCCCGTCACTTTGTCCCAGCTCCTTGCCAACCTAGCAGTTCGAAAGCATGCAAATCCGAGTAGATAAATAGGTACCACCTCGGTGGGAAGGTAAACAGCGTTCCGTGTATAGCTGCGCTGGCCACGTGACCACAGAAACTGTCTCTGGACAAACGCTGGCTCTATGGCTTGGAAACGGGGATGAGCACCGCCCTCTACCTTTACCTAAGAGTAGTGTGATGTGCAAACATTTTAGGAAGCAAAGATAATTTTTCCCTTTCATTTATCCCAATACCAGGAAAAAAAAAACCAAATCCAGGGCTAGTAAATGGGTTGCATCAGGAGTCCTGTTGGGTCAAGTTCATATTTTACATCTTGTAAAAGATCTTATATAGACCAATCAGGTGCCTATAGGAAGCGGATAAGCAAGGGTAAATGCAATAGCTGTGTCCACTTTTACTTACAGCAGCTTGTGTTTTCTTTCATATTGCCTTAGAAGCTGTTAGTTCCAGCATCATCCTGACTAATTGTAGTTTTTAGAAGTTGTTAGTTCAGGCATCCCGCTGACTGATTGTAGTTTTGGAAACTGTGAAGATCTTGATCCTGACAGGAGGTGATTCTTTTTAGCCTCCCTAAAAGCTGGAAGCGGTGTTTCAATTTTTGGAGAGACTCAGATTGTCAGAATATTTGGCTGCTCAAGGAGTAGGGGACTGAGGACTTCCTTCCCAGTGCCGGTTGTCTCCACTTTGCAAGGGTCATCGTCGGAGGCTTGCTTGTAGGGAATTAAAACAAATGCTTTTTTGAGGTTTGATTCTGTAGCTTTTTGAGCAGAAGGGGACACCATATTTCAAGCTTCCTGTCCATTTGAATACTCTGTTTATGCCAAGTTACTTGTGTTCTAATATCTAGTTTACATATTAGTTCTTTGTCCTATTTTCACAGTGACTCAACAAAAACTTTTTTGTGTGTTTCATTATGCATTCATGAATGCCATACAGAGGTTGTTATTTTATGGGGTTTTTTGGATTTTTTGTTTGTTTCTAGGTGTCACAAAATACTATTTCACAGAATTGCTCATTCAGCCCTCTGAAGACAGTTTCCCCTTGATACCAAGGTATTAAAGCATTCTGTAATTTCATATTAAAATGGTGCTGCTTACGTCTAAAGCCCTCCTATGCTTTTCTTCTATAAGTTTCATGAAATATTAAAATATTAACACTGTTTCAAGCAGTGTAAACTGAATGGCCATTAAGTATATTTATTGCTTTTCCTATTGTCGCTATCTCTCTCTTTCTTGCATAGGAATGTAATTAGAATCTTATACTAATGGTGGGACTCATTGAAGTCAAAGGTCGTCTGTGTGTGGTGAATCATTTAGATGACTCATATGTCTGATTAAAGGATGGCAGTTTCTTTGAGGCCCTGTATTCAATGAGCATAACATTTGTAAAAGAACCATACATTTCTTCCCAACAGGAAGACACGGGCAGACCAGATTTGAATTGAATTGTGAGTTCTGCACAATTACATTTGGATAGTCTATTTAAGGGAAGAGTCGCAGAGAGAAGGTGGAATCTTGCCACATTTTCTCTATATTCTTAAATCAGGAGTGGGACATTTGGGTGGTACAGTTCTCTATTTCCACCCCCAGAACCTGCTGTGTGTGCCACATTACACCCTCCTATAAAAACGGGAAATGACTGGAAGGTTACTTCCAGTTTTTCCAAAATCACGTGGTGATTACCTATCTTGTTTGAAAGGTAGATCATGCTTCCTGGAGGCTTCTGGGCATGCAATTTGAGTTGATGTTTCTGGTTTTGGTGGTTTTTTTTTTTTTTTTTTTTTCGAGTTGATGTTTCTGGTTTTGGAGTTTTTATTTTTTTGAGCATGCACAAAAACAGTTGGGGCATGCATATATCCTACAGGCTATATGTTGCCAGCTCTTCCCTTACAAAAACTGTGTCTCAGTGCATTGGATGCACTGGCACAATTTATAAGTGTAGTTTTTAAATAAAACATTTCAGACAGTCTTGTGTGATTCTAAGGTCTTATCATTCACGAAGCTGTGAGAAAGTGCCTGCTTCCCGGAGACTTCTCCGACACAGAGGAGTAGCTAAGACAAAGCTAGCACATTGTTATCACGTGATCCAGATTTGGTAGGATCCAGAACTCTGGCTTCTTTCTTTCCTGACAAGCCAGAAAAATGGGCCACTGTTTATTCCAGGGTTATTTCTTCACCTTGCTTGAGAAGAAACAAGTGAAGGAAGGTCCATGGATGCTTTCTCCATCCCTACTTGCAGGCAGTAGAAGTGATCAGCAAGCATGTAGCGACATGCTGGCTTGTTCACAAGCCAGGATTCTTCAGAGCTCATGCTGATTCTGCTGGTATTGCTTGATGTTGCTCAAGCACATTTGGGAGTCAGAAGTCTGCCAGTCTGTTCCACGTTGCCCAGAGCTCTATCAGCAGATGTAGATCTGCCTTCTAGCCATTCCTCTTGAACGCTGTGGGATATAATGCAAAGCATAGGCTGCAGAGCCAAACACCCAGTGTTACCAGAACTGTCAGTACTGTGTTTTTCCAGGCTGTTGCCCTAGATTTTCATATTGGTTACTCTGCCCTTGAAAACCCTCTTAACATCTTTGCAGTGTCCTTGTAACATCACTGTTTGTGATATGCTTACAAGAGAATTAATCATTTCCAACTTGCACATTCGTTTGCTGTTGTAGCAAGTCTTAGGGTCAATCAGTGGCAAATTATGCAAACTTAATGTTGCTTTAATTAATTTCTGCCATGAAACGTATAATTGCCAATTACAAGCTGGTATCTGGCTATCTTTTTCTAGCCTGTGCAGCTCTCGGCTTCAATTAAAGCTTTCTACTTTTTAATTGAAGGATGGCTTTTAAATAAAACATTTCAGACAATCTTGTGTGAAGCTCAGACAAATGCACATATGCCACAAATATCACAAAATGAAGCATGCTGGGACCACCTCTTGCCATACTGGCATAGGAACCTAGTTTGTCTCTTGAGAAAAACCTCCAGCACATGTTCACCATTGGTGGGAGAGAATAAGGGTACAGGGAGGGAGGGAGCATGCTGAGATTGATGAGATTTAGTGAAAACAATTGTGTGTGGTGGGGGGAGGGAACATGTTTGGTTGGAGGCAGAGTCCTGCGTTCTTTCAGGCTGTGGATCTAGCATGTTCATACAGCAGGCTTTCTTAACACAGTGTTGGGGGTTCTTTTCATTGTTCTGAGATGCTTTGCTTTGGACTCTCAAGGTCATGGTTTAATATTAAGTGTGCTGATTTCTTATACTGGTATGTGTCAGGGGGAGTGTTTTCTTCACAATGAAATAGAGAAGAATGGGGAAGTGAAAAGATAGAGGTGGAAGAAGTTACTTTTTTGGACTACAACTCTTAGGTAAATTTACCCTGAATGCAAAACTCATTTTCCGGAGAGCAGTCCTAAGAAAGGGAAGCAAAGGAATGGTTTTCCGGAGAGCAGTACATACCATGACTGGGGCTTCACTTTAAATGCCCGGGATAGGGACCAGAGTTGCAGGCTTGCTGTCCAGTCTGGGGCTTCACTTTAAATGCCAGGGATGGGGACCAGAGTTGCAGGCTTGCTGTCCAGTCAGACTTTAGTTGCACCAGTGACTCAGACTAGAATCGGTGGCTTGCTGGTATGTATTGTTTTGTTTTGTTTTTTAAAGGGCTCAGATTCATATTGTGACTCTGAACCCACCCGTCCTCTCCCTTTTGGGGGTGGGGGGGGAAGCTTGTTTTTAACAGGGACTAGTGACTCTGAACCCACCCGCCCTCTCCCTTTTTGGGGTGGGGGGAAGGCTTGTTTTTAACAGGGACTTGGGACTTGGGCCCAAAGACTTGCCAACATCCCTCTTAAATACCACAAATGGCTTTCCGTTTTTCTACTCTGCATGTAAAATATGGAATGGGGCAGGATGTCCTCCCTGTCCCTTCTTTTCGTGAATAGTCTCTCTCCTCATGTTCCATTACCTCTTGCTTGTCTTTCCAAGCAAACTCGTATGCTGTTGCCACTGCTGCCCAAAACTGCCCAAGATATATATATATATTGTAGAATTGAGAAAATGTCCACAGGTAACGGTGCTACTAATAAATGCAATTATCTCATTGTGCAACATGGGTTGGCGTGGAATGTTCCTCTATCTATTTATTCACTTTTCAAACAATGGCAGCTGTGGATACTTTATATGATCTAGCCTCTTCTTCTCCAAAACAGGTCTGCATATATACAAAGTGCTCTAGCCCATTCCCTTATAGATCTCTCTTCCACCAGAAGCACATTTAGATTCAGCATACGAGGGACTGATGGTGCCAGCTACATCTTGGTGAGTCACAGTTATATTGATGGGGCAATACAAAGATATCCAGTCACTTGAGTCCAAAGCTCAGCAGCCTCTTTCATAGCTTAGGATTCAGTGGTAGTTATATTTGAGTGGCCTTCCATACATTTGCACTGTGTGTACTACATTTGATTACAGGACTGAGTTAAGCTTGTGGAGCTGGGATTGGGGAGTCCTGGGAGGAGGCTTTAGTGGGTAGGGTAATCTGCTCCTTCAATAGTATTTCTAAGAGACATTGTATGTATGTATGTATGTATGTATCTATGTATGTATGTATGTATGTATGCATGTATGCATGCATGCATGCATGTATGTATGTATGTATGTGCATGCTCACTCACTCACTCACTCACTCAGAATATTTAGTTCCCACCTTATATCTTAAGATCTCAGGACAGGGTACAATAAAAGCATTTAAAACCCATTCAGAATAGTTTCAAGACATACAATAAAACAGTTTAAACCACTGGTTCTTAACCTTGGGTTACTCAGAAGTTTTGGACTGCAACTCCCAGAAGCCTTCGCCACCAACTGTGCTGACTGGGGTTTCTGGGAGTTGCAGTTCAAAAGCATCTGAGTAACAAAGGTTAAGAACCATTGGTTTAAACAATTCAACCAGTTAAAACCATTCAAACCTGTATGTTTCCAAAAGACTCCATGACCTACTGAAGCCTCAAAGATTTCACAACAGGGGGCACCACAACCAAGAAGATCCTCTTGTGTGTCTCCATGTGATGTCCAGGTCTCACTAGAAGGACTCAAGAGGAGGTCTATTTTGGCAGATCCCAGTACTTGGACGGATACAGTATACAAAGGGAAACTGAGGCCACTGAGCCATTTAGGGCTTTGAACGTCCTTAATACCACCATGAATTTGGACTAGAGCCATACTGGCAGCCAATGCAATTTCATGAAGAACAGCAACATATGGTTTCTATAAGGTTTTCTTGTCAGCAGTATAGTTATTGCATATGGCATTAGGTGCAACTCTATGCTATCTTTAAGGACAGACACACACAGACACACAAAGTGCATCATGGCAGTCTAACAAGCCGTGGGCATGATGTATTTGGAGCCAAGTTATCTGCTCCTAGGAATGGCCCATGAGTTACATTATTATTATTTATTATTATTATTATTTATTTTATTTATATCCCGCCTATCTGGTCGTGTGAGGACCACTCTAGG